GCTATGGTGGATCAAAGGCCGATATTAACGGTTGTTCCAAGCTCTCGTTAAGTGCATTTTCGCCCATCAAAGGTGGTTAGTACTCAATTTGCATATTCTAACCTTGAGAACAAAGGTAAACTTCAAGGGATGACATTGATAGAGCTAGAGAGTAGTAGTTTGTTTGTATAGATATGCTTGGGCGGTTAAAATTGTTAGAGCTAAAGAATTAGTTTAGATAGTAAGAGAAGGTAGAAGAGGAAGATTTAGATTTGATACTTTGAAAAAAAAGATAAAAAAATAGAGCAGTGACTCAGTTGTGAGGGAACACCCTTGTAGGAGATTTCTCTCCTTTGTTCTTTGTTTGTGATTTGGTCAATCAATACAGAACGGTTCTTTCTCCTTTTCTGTTTCTCAGTTCTTTCTCTCTGAAAATTCAGACTCTGTTTTGTGGTTCCTAACACACACATGCTTACTCAAGCATACCGGTTATCCTTATCAGCTTTTTTATTATAACTGTTTCAATTTTGTAGATTTTTCCACAGACTACTTTAGAAAGTGGAATTTACTATGCAAGTAGAGCGGTACTCGTGCTTAAAATGATTAGTAGGGTACTTAATTCTTGGCTTTATGTCAGCAGAAAAGTATTAGGCCATAAAATATAATGTAATGTGATAGTAAAAGTTGAAATGCTATGTATTTTGTCATTTCTGTAATACTAAAATGGGTTTTGGCATGCTAATGGTATTATGGTTTCTTGTATTACCTAGAGCACAGAACTAATATTTGTAAAGTTAGAGAGAAAGGTGATGGAATAATGAGGAGAGAAATGCGAGAGAAACAAGTAGAGAAAAGTTGATAGTGTTTTATAAAGGGAAAAAATAAGGCAGGATGTATGCTACTCTTGCCCGGTATGCTTTCATATTGGTTCATTTCCCTTCTCTTCCTTCAAATTCACTCAACCTCACAATGCTTCACAACTATTCTATTTATAGTTGACTGACTAATGTCACTACTACTTGACCTAGAAGGACATGTTATATCCTTAAGTGCATATTATCTCCTATGTTTATTATTACATCAGACCTTATTATGTCTCATGCTTATATATTAAAAAAAAAAAGAACAATGGACTATAATATAGTCAAATGGCACACTAGCAATAAATTTTTAGTTCCAGTTTACTTCAATAACTGCATATCCCAAAGTAGCACTTGGAATGTTGTCCTTTTTCTTGATCACTTTATTTTGTACACTAAAGCACATTCAATGTATAATTCTTTTTGTCCTCTTATTTTGTCTTCCTTGCAATTTGGACCTATGTTTGTGTTATCTATAAATTACTTTCATCAGTGAATTACCCATGAATCAAAACAAACTACAAGAGGAACTGACAGGTTCTTTTTTTAGTTTTACTTAGTTCCATTTGGTTTGCAGTATTTCTGAGCCAATCAAGGTTGGTTCAGTTCAAGGTTAGGTCTAAAACCATACGGTGTAGCTCACGAATGCTTCTTGTAGAAGTTTAGTTGAATCTATATTGGCTTGGTCCTTCTATCCAAAATTTATTATTTTCTAAAATTGATGTTAGTTGACTTTAGCAATTAGTGATTATTATTTAATTTTAAAAGTTAGGCACTTTAGTTGTCGAATTACATAAAATACCTCTTTCAAAGTTGTAGCTGGAATTGTGTCATTTCTGGAAGTTGTAGTATTTTTTTTGTCAAATTTTCTCAGCTTTTTCCCTTCACAGGTCCTTTAGTTCTTTAATTGAAAATACCTGGCACACGATGGATGTGATATATACTTTATGAACCAGGACATGTTGATATATGAACACACTATAAGCAAAGCTTTGCTTGATATAATATTGTTGTTTTTATGCTGGCTAACCTGCTTTGATTCCAGCAAGTTGCTTTTCCTATTTGTTTGGCTAACCAGTGCACGGCAGTAGATTTTCTTTATTGTAAACTTGCATTACTTAACTTCATTGGCAATGGAACCATGTATGATCACTATCTGTATATTTTATTCTTATATTCAAAGAAGAAGATGGAGTCAATATATAGGGAATGTCAAAGCTCTTAATTGGCCAGTGAGCATTTCTTATTTTGTTTGAGTATCCCATTGCAGGCTAAGCCAGACCCAGATCTTCATGGTGCAAAGCGAAAAGCAGTAACACCTCCAGCTGTTGATGGCAGCAAGCATTCTCCATTTAGTTTGAAGAAAAAACCCAAGGTGGAGTGGAGTTGTGCACTATGTCAAGTTAGTGCAACAAATGAGAAAGGCTTGAATGCGCATCTTCAGGGTAGGAAGCACAAGGCCAAGGAAGCAGCACTGAGAACGCAGAAGATTGGTAAGTGCACCAAAACATCATTGTCATTAAAGAAAAGTAAAAAGTGTGTGAAGTCTACTGAAGCCATTGTTACCACAATTTCAGGGTTGGATGCAGAATGGGGAGAGACAAATCAGACAACGGTTGATAAAGGTGTAATGGAATCTGAAAATGGGAAGCAGCTTGTGCAGAAAGGCGAAAATACATGTTTGGAGAATAAAAATGGAACAGCAATTGTGAAAGATGCAGGGGAAAAAAATACATTCAGTAATGGGAAGTTTAAATTTTGGTGTGAAATATGTGAAGTTGGTACTTGCTCGCTAATTGTGATGGAAGGCCATAAGAAAGGGAGAAAACACCTGACTCGAATGAAGAAATTCAGTCAAAATGATGGGAGTGCCATGCCCACATCCCCGGTATCAGTAGAATCACCTGGGTTGAACAAAGAAGCAAGGATAACACATGTTCTGAACGAAGAAACAATGTCAAAGATTGCAGAGAATTTTTCAGATTCAGATAATGTGCATCCGGAGGCTGAATCAATAGGAGATAGAGCGGGTGAAGGACTATGATCCTGGTATTTCTGGAGTAGACAAAACTACTTATGTTGTAAATTGACTCATTGCAACCTGGTTTTTTTATCGTTTACTTATGTGACATTTTTAATCTGCTATGATAAATAGATCTTGCATAAATGTGAAACTCGTTTGATCTTCATTCCATGGCAATTTCAGCCTATGCTGCACCACTACATGTATCTGTACTCTTATCTTATTAGTCCTTACTGAGTCCCCCTTGTGGTAACGCAAAAACTTAGGACCTTATATGGTTTTGTTCCAATTCTGTTGCACATTCTCATTACTCCAATGTCCCAGCGTATCAATCATAGCAAAGGAACATGAGAATTAGAGTGACAAGTCTTTTCTGATTTGAACTAAACCAAAATTTCTTTTATTTATTGGCAACATTTTATTAATTTCAAGCGCTAGGAAAATCTCATTTTATTTTAGAAATAAAGATGAGGGCACAACTTTTTTGCTAGTAGCAAAGAAAGCGCAACTCTTGATGCAAAATTATAGGGAAAATAGACTTTTAGAAAAAATGCAGAAGTTTTCTGCTGTATTATCATTCTTCAATAATCAAAAATCTTCTCTCACATCCTTCTAACCAGCCTTTTAAAGGCAATACAAAAAGTAACTGACAACAAAGGACTATCAATGGTCTATACAAAACGGAAATAACCATAAACAAAACATAAAGTCATGCAAACTGAAACGTCTGCAATTATTAAAATCCATAAAAAGCTTTAAAACTGAAACGTCTGCAGTTATAATAATTTATGGTGACTTAAGTGCATCATCATCTCCCACTAGGAAAAGATTCGCCCTCGAATCTGCAACGTCTTCAGGTGGTAATCCAGGCGGAAACTCTTCTGGTACAATATCACCAAATTTCCTAATTAAGATTAGGACTTGGAAATGTAATACTTTAACATGCTTGGTATATTCATTTGTAGTTTGGATCAATGATCGCATCTGTGATCCGTCATAGGAAAACTTTGTCTGATGTACCAGCAAGTCCCATTGCCTTTGACGATCTCCAATTAAACTTTTACCAAAAGCTAAATCTTTATCTCCATGGAGCATAAGGTTGTTATGCTCGTTGTCCCCAAATTCATAATACTGCTTGCAAATTAAAGACTTCTTGGATGAAGGATCATTCTGCATGATATCTTTGGGTAGAACTTCATCTGTGTCAGAGATATTAGAATTTCTAATAACTGACTTCCCATCAGAATCACTACAAGAGATTTCTTTCACCTCTGGATTCTCGTCGTCTTGCTCCCAATCATACTTATCATAGATAGGGAACTTGTCATAAATTGGAGCATCCATAACAAGATTCTCATCATCTTGCTCTTCATCATATTCATCATAGATTGGGACCTTCTGGTCTTCTGTCAAGTCTATGATGTCAAAGATCTTTTCGACGGTGTGTGACCCGTCGATAAACTCATCCAGATGAGTAGTGCCTTCGAATTATGGGATCTCAATCTTCACCTCAATATTAGCAAAAAAAGAATGAGTAGTGCCTTCAGATTCCCATCCTTCATCTGACTTGTGCAACTGTGCCTCTGCAAGCAGTTGTTCGAGTTCTTGGATCCGTCTGTCCTTTTCCTCAATTTCAGCATCTCTCGCATCAGGATAATAATCACCATCGGTAGGTTGACTGCGTCTGCCGCCACGACCTCTTCGTCCACGACCACGACCTCCGTGATTTTCCTGCTCAGCCATCTTTAAGGCAAATACCAAATGATGCAAAATTATAGGGAAAATAGGCTTTCAGGAAAATGCAGAAGTTTTCTACTATAATCATTCTTCAATGATCAAAAATCTTCCCTCACATCCTTCTAACCAGCCTTTTAAAGGCAATACAAAAAGTAACTGACAACAAAGGACTATCGATGGTCTTAAAAACTGATACAAAACGGAAATAACCATAAACAAAACATAAAGTCATGCAAACTGAAACGTCTGCAATTATTAAAATCCATAAAAAGCTTTAAAACTGAAACGTCTGCAGTTATAATAATTTATGGTGACTTAAGTGCATCAACTCTTATGGGTGATTTTCTTGCAAAACTAAGCATGAATATGGACTAGTTTTAAGACTATTATGAGCGCCTTATCGAGTGGCAATGGGGTTCTTGCTGTTCTGTTTGGTATTTGGTCGTTACAAAAGATAAATGAACGTTCAAATGTAAAGGCTTACAGGCTTTAGCAGCCGCAATTGACCAACCAAATTGCCATCTGTTAGAAGCACCGGTCACGTTATTCAGAGATTTATAAGCAACTTCTACAAAGTAGACAATCAACAACTCCTTTGTCGTGGCGCCTAAACGCCAACATCCTAGCCTATATTTTGGTCAAGTTTATTTTTTCTGCCTAGATTTCCTCCATATGGCTTCAAATAAGTTAAAAAATAGTAATATAGAATAATGAACCGGCATATTGGAGAATCTTGTGTTACACAATTTAAATAATGAGCAGACCAATGCATAGTTGCTAAGTGAACAAATGGATAGACATTGTAGACAAACCAACCGAAACCAGTCCATAAACTTCAAAGTCGGCCAGAAAGTGGAACAAAACCCCAAAAGTACACAAGCCTCAGGATTGAAACAGGCACAAGAATCTAAGGACCACCATTTAAAACACAGAATCCAAATTCAATTTTGGACTACTTTTTGCAATGCAAAAGACAAATAAAAACAACTCACCAGTGAAGAAAGATAATTCACCATTTCATCTAATATTTATATTGAACATATGATATATGATTCTATGAGGTATATGTTATCTTTACAAAATGAAACATAAAGCTTGAATGACTTGATGAAGGTAAAAAAATATGGTCTGCTATATATCAAGGCAGACTACACATTCCAAATGGGTAGCAAATTGTTATTACTAAGATCAAACCCTTAATGCCACCTGGTCTTGCCATGAAATCTTCCTCTTCCCTGCCCTATTTGATCCATCCCCAACGTTTCTACAAACTGACAGCTTGATATCGTTGTGCTGCTCATCACTCACAACTCTTTGTGTACTTCTCTTTGATTCTTCAATCCTCAATGGCTCGCCGTTGCCCTGTAATTCCTCCTCTTCTCTCTGCATGGCATCCAAAGTAAAAACTATAAGTCTACAAGAATCAAACATTATCAAGGACTCACAATGTAAACACAGCATGCACAATTAATTACCGAAATCTGGTTCAAGTCAAAAAATGGAACTATACTCTTCTTTGTGGCTTCCTTCCCATTGTGAATCCTATCTTTGTGATTCAAGTCAAGCACTGGAGTAGAACCGAGAGAAGAAGCATCTCTTTTACTAAAACTCCTAGCATTTTGGTTTAAATCAAACACATGGCCAGTTTTTTGCAACGTGACTTCGACCCCATTGGAAATCCTTTCTTTTGGTTTCAAATGGGAAGTGGTGTGGGGTCGCAAAGTGGATTCCTTTCTATTGTAATTCCTTCCCTTTGAGATAATGGGCGCTTGGATTTTGAGCTTTCGTGGCTTTAGAAATTCTTGCTTAGGTTGAGGCTTTGGAGAAGGATGTTTTAGTAAGTATTTGTAACGTTGCCTCAGAAATCTGCAGGAAAGTGCTGAGGATAAGCTTTATGGATAATAATAAACAGCAAACCAATAAAAACCCAAAACTACTCATTGGTAGGATACATTACCTAACTTCAGCTGACAGGATCAACTTTTTCTGCTTCGTACCCTGCAATTTCATTCTCATGGCCTCTGTTTCCTGAACATACAAAAAATATCATGAGAACAATTTTTACAAAAATCTTTTACAACAACTCAAACAAGACTATCATGGGAAAATAGACAAACAAACACACTGACGAAATTATTTTGACAAAACTTCCCTTACAAAAAAAGAGATATAGAGACTAATTAACAATTAATTACCTTTTAATTATTAAATTCAGGATTGAATTAGTAGGAAAACCCTACGGAAAATATGACAAAGTAAAAAATAGAAAGCTACATAGCGAAAAGACCCAAGAGGCTTAAACTAAAGCTATGCAAGGTTAAGGTTCCAAAAGCTTTGAAAAAATGTAAAAAAGAAAAACAAAATAAGAAAACCCGCAAGAGCACACCGGCTCCTATGTGATTGTTGTTTCATGTTAATTAAACACTCAGAAATTTCGCAGATAAGAATCAGATAATTTGGAGTCCCAAAAAAAAAAATTGTCCTGTAAGATGTAACCGAAGCGAAGAAATTCTAGAACAAAGAGAGATACAAGCAACATAAGAATAAACATGAAAACACACCATCCCATCAGATCGGAACACGATTATAGGTTTGATCCAAACAAATTATTAAACAAGCATATAAAAACATAAGATCTCTTCTTGTTTTCTCTAACAAATTCTCAATTTTCTCAGCAACAAACCATCATAAATCCAAATCAACCAAAAGGCACAAACACACCAAAGGAAAAACCAGATCTAGCGAAACCCACAATAAAAATTTCCAATCTTTCGAGAAAAAACAGGGCAAAGGCGTTACCTTGTGCAGGTCTTCAAAGTCCTGCAAGAGACTCTGGTGCCTCAACCTGGTCCTTTGATCCTGATACACATCAAAAGAAGTCTCCATGGAGACAACCCCTTTCATCTTCTTCATGAGATCAGGGAAGAACAGAGCAACAAACAAGGCAAGAACCAACAACAACTAAAGGTAAAAAAGGGGAGCAAATAGAGAGAAAGTAGAAGGTGGGGTGTGGTAGGTTATGGAACAAAAGGGGTGTGTGAGAGAGAGAGAGGGAGAGGGAGAGGGAGAGAGAGAGAGAGAGGAAAAGAGGCACAAGAAAGAGAGAAAGAGGGGAAGAGGTAAGAAGGTTCTCGCTTTCCTGTTTTCTCTGTGAAACTCTGACCAAAACAAGGAACCCCAAAAAGCCCACATAACTCGGTGAAAAAATATTGTTCTTTAGAAAGACCAGTGATGAAGATGGGGGATTTTTTGGGGGCTTGCAGAAGGGTAATTCGGGGAACATAATTAGATGATGAGAGAGAGAGAGAAAGAGAGAGCTTGTAAGGTGGGTTTGGTTGGAGGACATTTGAACACATCTAACTTCTCTTTCTTTTGTTTCCCATTCTTTCTATCTTTCTTTTTTGGTTTTTCTTCTACATAAATTTTGGTCCAGCTGGGCCATTGATGAGAGAGAAAGAGGGTTGGATGGTGTGGTGTGGTGTGGACTCTTTGGTTTTGATGGGAGGATGCGTGGAGTTTCCATGTTTCTACTTTCATTCTATTTGCCATTTGTTGTTGCCCTCTGCGTAGAGAGAGAAAGAGAAAGATTGTTATATGGAAGGTAGATTAGGGGCTGGAAAAGGCAAAAGAGGTAAATGAGATGAGATGATGCTGTTTCTCTGCTGTGCCTGTAGCAGTTTTTGGTTGCAACCTTATTTTTGGGCTTTGGAGTGGATTCAGTACTTTTGTTTTTGTTTGGGTTGTGAACTCTCTCTCTCTCTCTCTCATATGGTGCCATGCCATGGTGCCCCTCTCATTTCACCCAATTATTATTATATACAAGGTCAATTGGTATGCATTTACCTGCATACCCTTCTTATTTTTATGCTTTTCCCCTCCTTGTCCTCTGGTTGGAGAAAAATCAATCTGGCTTTTTCATCATGAAGCAGGTAAAGTAAAGAAGAAAAATCCCAAAACCCATTTGCCAATTGCCCCCCCATTATTTTGTGGTGTCTCTCTCTAGTAGCATTTGAGGGGTGGATTAGGTGCTTTTTTTCTTCTACATCCAAACTAGTCCCTTATCTTTATATTTAATGTTTCCTCCATCTTCATGAATGGAATTATAAAGATCCCACCAGCACCTACTTTCAGGACTTTTGTGTGACACCACCCCTACCTACCTTATAGCCACCACTACTGTTGATTGAAAGCTCCATCACCATTACCCTTTCATTTCTTTGTTGTGGGCGTGGCCTGGTGCTATATAGCCACATATTTTGAGATCTTATTTTATAAAAAAATAAAATAAAAAATTATTATAGAATTATATAAATTAAGACATAAATTTGGGATACAAATATTGAAGCTAGATAGAATAATTAGATAGGGGGTGTTTGGTAGGAGGGGAAAAAAATTGTCCAGGAAAGTGGGATGAAGAAAATAGTTTAGCCATGTTTGATAGGAGTAAAATAAAAAAATGGGTAGTAAAATTTTTTGACTCGGAAATATGTTTTACAAATGATCTCATTATAAAATATTATCATCCAATGTATGGTCAGAAAATTTGCCTACAACCAACACACATTTTCTTATCTTACTCGGTAATAAATTTCGGCATACCAAACACCTTTTCTTATCTTACCCAATAATAAATTTTTTCTACCATGTTTCCAACAATTTTTTTTTCTGATGAAAAAAAATTTCTCCTTTACCAAACGCTTCCTTAAGGATTTATATAAATGCAAGCTTATATGAATATGACTTAACCTATTTTTATTAAAACAAGAAAACCACAATTGATATTTATAAATAATTTTAAATGTGCAACTAGCGTTATAATTTCTTATGATTATCTAATGGGGACAATGTGGTTAATGTCTCTCACATGGCGTGTGGGTAGTACTAGTATGTGGTACAAAAGGGGATCCCAACCCACCAAAACTCCTTTAGGTAGCGTTTGGTTGGGGACAACTCAAGATTTTCCTGGCGAAGTGGATGTGGGCATCATCGTTGTCCACGTTTGGTTCAGGTATTTCATCTTTGTTGCCCATCAATGGGGGTTGCCTAGCATTCCATGAAAATAAGTAAAAGTCAGCAATAATCACTGTTGATGAATCCGGTTGTGAAGGTGGTTTTGTTGTGAAAAAGCGGGTAAGTGAAAAATGGGATGAAATGGAAGACAACTTTACCCCTCCGTCGTAGAAGTTGGTCGTTTCCAGATTGTACACTTTTGGTCAGGTACAGACAACGGTGAAACAAGGGTTCTTGTTATATTGCGACTGTCTTCGTAACACGCTTCCGGTAAGATGATTCTTTGTCGTTGGACTCATTCTCTGTTTCTATGTTCTGTTCATTGTTGCAAACACAACTTTTGGATGTGGCCACACACCATCTTTTTGTTCTGCTTGTGGTAGTGATTATGAAATGTAGAATGGAGATGAAATGATGAGATGTTCATCCGATTTGTGACTGTGCTTGATCTGGTCTTAATATTGTAGGAATGTATTGTCTTGATTCATGCCTTGAACTATGTTTATTTATTATGCAATCTACTACATATTTACATGATGGGACACTTGTCCATTTTGTTTTGCAAATGGCGCTATTATAACCAGACTTCTCTCATGATGCAGTTTTGAAAAGCCACCTGTCTAATACTGCAACTACACACGATTTCTTTAGCGCTTTGTATATCTTGAACCGCTTCTTTGGTAGCATGTTTTTATAAGGATATTTATGTAATTTCGTTAAGTTTTCCCATCAATATTTTATCTTCAACCAAACACACATTTAGAAATTTCATTCAATTTTCCCGGTAAAATTTTGCCCAACCAAACAACTTTTTTAAAACTTTCCTATCTAATTCACTTTTCCTATGGATCCCTAGTATTTACATTTCCCTGTTATTATAAAATTTCTCCCCAACCAAACACTACCTTAAGAATTCAAAACAAGACAAGATAGCAGAGAAGTCTCCTAAAACAAAGATGCTGAAGCCTGTTGAAGCTGTGTTTGGTTTCTTACATTTGTTAACAGTTTTTTCGGTCACCATTTCGCTCTTTCCTTTTGTACGTCTCATACCCCAACCCCATCTACCCTTGTTATTTCCAGGAACGGTGACCATTTTGCCACTGTTGGCCAAAAAAATTATCTGACTGTCATGCCAACAGTAAATTTTGCCAAAATGCCACGTGGCATATTTCGCTACACTGCGTAGCGAAATATGTGTGTAAATAATTCGCTACACAGTGTAGCGAAATATGCCACGTCAGAACTAAAAATGTCATGTGTCAAAATTGAAGAAATTCGCTACATAGGGTAGCGAATTTCTACAATGTTGACACGTGACATTTTTAGTTCTGAGCAGTCTGACGTGGCATATTTCGTTACACTGTGTAGCGAATTATTTACACACATATTTCGCTACACAGCGAAATATGTCACGCGATATTTTGACAAAATTTACTATTGACGTAATAGTCTGATAATTTTTTTGATCAACAATGACACTTTGGTCACCGTTATTTTCGTTTCCCATTCCCTTTGCGATATTAATAACTTTTTGGATTCTATTCTTAATATGCTATTAGGAAATTTGACTTTTATGTGTACCGACCGAGTCTTTGAAATATGCGTCCCTTCGTAACACTCACGAAAATCCAAGTGTCGTTGTTCTTTTTAATGTAAGTATTCATTAACGTCAAATTAGTTACACGAACTTAGGAACGTTTGGTAAAAGAATATTTTTTTTTATTTGAAAATTTTAATTTTTAAAAATATAATTTTTATATTCAGTTTACGATAATATTTAAAAATTAAAAATTTAAAAAAATTCAGTTTTTTGAAAATCTTATAAAATTACACGTACCAAACGATCCTTTATAATTTTTTTTTTGTTTTTTTAAGGGAAGACTTATCGTTTAGGTGGGGTTTAAAAAAAGGGAAAAAGTGAAAAACAAAATAAAGTGCATTTTTTAAGTTTAAACACATGTTTTCATTATATATTTAAGTCTCATTAATGGACCAACCGATAAATTAAGTTTTCCTATCTGTATTACTTGATCCATATACTTTGTGGTAATTACTTGCTATTATTATATATGTTATGAAAGCAGTATTTTTATTTCTCAGTCTATTGGGGTGTGCACGAAGTAATTTTTAAGGCTAACTTGGCCAAATTTTTATCAGACTGATTTTATAATTAATTTTTTAGAGCTTTTTTTGTCAGAAATTACTATTTTTAGTTTTTAATAAACGTATTAAAGTATTTTTATTTTTTAAAAAAAAAACATTGCAATTACTATAAAAAAAACTACTTAAGTACAAACAAACGAACTCTTAATCTAGATTATTTATACAATTGTAATATCGACACTTGTTCATTTCATCTCTCATAAGTCATTATAAATCATTCGTCTCCCTAAATATGCCGTATATAATAATAATAAATTTACATATGCATGATCTTGAATATAGTAATTTGAAAATTCACTCATTAATAGGTACATAGTACATACACTTAAATAATATTCTTATGGATGAACTTGGACACTATGTTATACATCCGAATCATAATAAAAGAATTCATATTTATACTTTAGGTAATACAATTAAGATAAATAATTAATACAATTTTTTTTAAAAACAATTTCTCTAAATTTAGATGCTCTTACCTTACCTATTTCCATTTGAGCAATGTTAAAAACTCTTAAATATCTAGATTATAATTTTAAATAAAAATAAAAGTATTTTATATTTTCTAATTCTTTTTAATATTTATGAGAATTACTAGGAACATTAATATATAAAATCAAACAATTTTTTTTAATAATCATTGTAGTTAAATATCGAGTTGTTTATTTTTATTTTATTTTATACTTTAGAGCATTTGTTAAAAATATTAGTGTGATGACCGATGACAATATAATAAATATTTAAAATTTTATACTTTTGTTTTCAACACACTGGTTAACAAATTTTTTTTATCAAAAAGTCTTATTTCATACTTGAATTTCTCACACTAAAATATACAAAATACTAAGTGAAAAAAAAAAAAAAGAGTCAACTAACTTATTACGTGGCAGTTTGATAGTTGTCATTGACAAACACATAGACAGGTGACAAATCTAACCAGTGGCAAGTACTCGTAATCCTACAATTGGACCGTTATATGAGTAACCTGAAATAAGGGTAATGTTAACAGGGAAATCTGAGTCACCGACTCTTGAGGCTTCACTGTCCAATACATGGAAGCCAAAAAATTCTCCATTATCTAATACTAACAGTAATACCTCTTTCACTTCACCTCACAAATTGCTTCATCTCTTTCCATCAAAACCCAAAATTGTAACCTTTTTCTTCCCTGTGCGCGGAAGCCAATGGTGTCCACAGTTTCTCTAACTGGTCATTTATCAAACATCCACGGAACAAGTGAATGGAAAAAGCTTTGCCCTCTATCAACTTCTCTGTGTAAGTCTACCCCTCCATTCATTTCCATTTGGGTTTCTCTTTTATTCAATAAAGTTGCAAACTTTTTTTACTTTGACATGTTATATGGGACTTTTGCCTCGGGTGAGTGTGATTCTCCAATTTACAGGCAAAGAATGAAATGTTAGGATTTTTTTTTTTTGGGTTGTTGTTGTTGTTGTTTGTACTATGCAGAATTGGTATCTGTTTTCTGCCTTCCCATTGTGGCGTTTCTTATTGCCTAGAAGACCCTTTATTTGTTTAACTGTGTTGAAAAATAAATTCATCTTGAATTGTTGGTTTAGCATATTCTTATTCCAGCAATTGAATGCTTGGAATGTTTAGTATTTTTCTAAATAACAACAGTACCACTTTGATTCGATGTTTGACCGTACTGTTGGAAACTAAGCTTATCATTTATAATATATCCAAGACTATAAACAAAATAAGAGACTAGATTGATAAAGGGGTTATGTAAGGTTAATCCATGTATGCTTTCGATTATCAAATTTAACTTGTTATGACTTAAGGTATTTGTCATTGGCTGTTATTATATAGGTAAACTGAACTCCAGTGCAAATGTAGTTGATATGAGGATATTATCTCGGTGTGGTAGTCAAAAAGTTGGACCTGATCGTAGATGTTTTCGTGTTTATGGCCTATTTGGAGGGAAAAAAGAAAATAATGAGAAAAGTGATGATGCACCTTCAAAGGTTAGCCAAGTTAGCTTTCTCTTGCCATCAATGTAACATGTGAATACACACTCTGGATGACAAATTTGCTTTTGTATTAATATTTCCCATCTGTTTAGATTTTTCATTATTCACATGCATGATAATGATTGACGACCGGAATTTTTTTCTCTGTCACGTTTATTTCACAAGCATTGTAGGATTAATTTTTTTACTTGTTTAATAGTCATCTCATTAACTTAAACTGGATGATGGATAGTTCTTATGATTTCTTCCAAGAGAGAAATGAATCAGTGATAAATTATCTCTTCTACAGAGTTTCCTCTTCGTAAGTGATAAAGAATCACTTCTCATTTCTGGCATGTGGAGAAGTTCCTTAGAAAGACACATTTGAATCAATTATCAGACTGTGTTATGTAGGAGATCCTCCCAAGCACCCGACATCAACCTTCCAATCCACCCCCATTTGATGCCTACTTAACTGTTGAAACTTTTCCCTTTTATATAGTTGCAAAGTAAGATATTCACCTTTCAAGCTAATATTTATAGTGTGAGGATCATGTTTGTATTGGTAAATTTTTTGGTCATGCTGTCCTGTGCTTATGTGTTTTAAATTCTTCTGGGACAAACCCAATTAGCAGAGCAAGAACACCAATCACAAAAATATAAATAAAGCCCCGTGTTGCAATGAAGGTTGGCAAAAAAGGCACACGGTGATTGTCCATGCCTATCAAATTGAGTTTTTATGGTTTTGATTATTCCTCGAATAAGTCACAACTTCTAGTTCTCTTTCAAAATTACAAAGTACACAGATATTGTGGATATACTCAAGGTTCCAATAGTTTGTGTCCCACTACGCGTCCAGGAGACTTGATCCATTGAAGCGCTAGTAAGAACTTCATAGTATTGTTATGATTATAAGGACACTATTGCAGAGTTTTTCTGATGTGCAGCATATTTTTTAAGGTTCATAATCAGGTCCTATATTCGTGATATTGATCCATCACATATCTTCACTACCTTATGCTGAAATGAAAATGCTGGCATTGATGGTTTGCCTTTTGACTTAGGTTTATTAATGGACTGAAATCCATTACTTCTATCATTTGCGCATTTCACTTCTGACTTTTGAGTTGATTTTTCTGTCTTTCTGTATGTTCTCTTCTGCAAGATCATTGGATATTTATCATTGATCTGTAACCTCGAGATATCAGCTTATCTGTATCTTCACTTTCCCTTTTTCATGATTAATCTTATCTTTGTCTGCCGATATTACGTTAAAGTAGTTATTGTCCTTTCTGAGTTACATAATTTATGATATTTTCACTGTACACAATAGGTCTAGTTCCCTATTAAAATTCCTTTGCAAAATATCACTTTTATATTTGGCAAAATGTTGGGGACTCGTTTGATTGGTAGATGATCATGTGTCATATGGACAACATTCTAAGTTAGTAACTCTGAAGGAATAAATTCTATGGTAACGTTTACCTCTGATGGTGGTTGTAATTGTACATAAGTTGCATTCCAGAAGTTTTTAACTATTTCATTGAGTACACAAGTTAAAAACTTCATGGCACATGATTTTACGTAACAGCTATTTAAAACCTTTCTTGGGCAGAAGTGTTTGTTGTTATATGTGTGTATACTAAGCTTAATTTTGCTTACACTTGACAAACTCTATTAAAAGTTGTTCCATTGTGACTGAAAGGTCACAGATTCAAATATGGAAAACAGCATCTTTGCAAATATGTAAAGGTAAGGCTGCGTATAAGAATTGTCCTCACCTTTACCCTTGCTTGTCGGGATTTAATGGGGGGTGGTAGACAATCTATTAAATTCAAAATTATGAGGCAGTATTTTCTTTTGTTGGAATGTTGGGTTTGTCTATCTGATTGATAAATCCTGATATTCATAATTGGTGGATTTGTGGATTGACTTTAGGCCGGAATTCTTGGAAACATGCAAAATCTTTATGAGACTGTGAAGAAGGCACAAATGGTGGTCCAAGTTGAAGCTGTGCGAGTTCAGAAAGAACTTGCTGCGTATGGCATTCTTGCTAAACAATTAAAGCTTTTCCTTTTCTTTTTTTGCCCCAGTTATACGAGTTATTCATAATAGAGTTATCTGTCTTTATTCTATTATGCAGAGCAGAGTTTGATGGTTACTGTGAGGGTGAGTTAATAAAGGTACAATATTTGCTCTCTCTCTCTCTCTCTCTCTCTCTCTCATGCTGTGTGGTAGAAACCTTTTCGTGCTTTTGTGAGCAGATTTGGAATCTGGAACTTACTTAGCCTTTTAATTTTCCTTTTAAAAGCTGAAAGTCTGGAATTTTTATGTGCATCATCTTATAAATATTTTATACTCCACGGCAAGGTTGTCGATTCTGCAATACGTAGTATCATATATATATATAGATGGGGTATGTCATAGAATGGTGTCGTGGTTCAGTTTATATATATATATATATATATATATATATATATATATATATATATATATATAATAACATTTGTTGTTCTAGCTTTATTCTTCATCATGATGTGTTGGGTTACATTATCAATACTTGTATTATAATCTGTAAGTTTGGTTTCATTTGTTAACTTGCCTTTAATGAAGTTTAATTTTTTAGGTAACACTATCTGGGAATCAGCAGCCTGTACGAACACAAATTACTGAGGCTGCTATGGAATTGGGACCAGAAGTGAGTAGGCAATTCAAATGATATTTTATAACTATACATACATCTTTCCTGTCATAACTAATAGCATCCTGCATACATGACCATAGGGTGAAATTGGAGTAGACGTTTGCAAAAGTTAACAAATATGTAGAGTTTATTAATGTATATAAATTCTTTGATTGTTTTTGCTGCTTACATAAATAATGTTCAAAGAAATTTGTAGGACGAGGGACTTAAATTTGGATAGGATTGCTCACTTTAATGGAAATGTAACACAGCTTTCCCCTTTGTCTCAACTAGACATTCTGTCAAAAGTTGGAGGAATGGTTATGAATGACAGATATGGTTTTCATTCATGTATTGAGAGTTGGGTTGGATTGCTGATAATTTTTATCGAACTAAGGGCCTCTTTGTTTGAGCTTTCAAAATAAGTGTTTTTATGATATAGTTTTCGTTTGGAGCTCTTTTTTTGGAAGTTACTATTTTTAATTTCTGAAAAAGAGACTAAAACAGCTCTTTTTATGTTTCTTCTTCTTTCCTTTTTTTTTTTTTTTAAAAGAAAACATATATTATTATAATTTTTTTAAATTTATTTGTTATTAAACGTCTCTGGGTTGCAGAAACTTTCATTGTTAATCACTGAGGCATACAAGGATGCACACCAGAAGAGTGTCCTGGTAAAAAATCTCAATTTTCAATAGGAATAATGGAAATTCCCTTGCGTTTGTGGGTATTGGTTTAGAAAAACATGATCTTGCTATTGTTTTGCAGGCCATGAAGGAAAGGATGAGTGATCTTGCACAGAGCTTAGGAATGCCGCCAGGGCTCAGTGAAGGGATGAAGTGATGACAAACATGAGATGAACATCAATTTTGCATACAAGAACACCAATGTCACAAATTCTAATTTCTCCCTTACCTGTGATTTTGAATTTGCAATCTTGTTTCTTTATTTATGTCATACAAGAACCTAATTTTCTTCCCTTTATCCTTGTCCTATTACTTTTTTACGGGGAAAATCAATTCTTTACATCTTATTATCATTTCTCTCGCAGTTTAGGTGTGTTTGGATAAAACGTAAAAAGATAAAAGCTTTTATGAGAATATTTTTTTTTTTTTTTCCTGAATGTTACTTTGTCTTGTTTTTAAGAAAAAATACTATTTTTTTTTTTTTAAATGAATCCAATTATGTTGAAAAATTGGACGTGTTTTTTTAATTAAAAGAGCATTCATTATTTTCCCTTACTAGAGCACAAACTGGCCCGAAGAAAAATCTGGGCCGCGTTAATCCACTATGAGATGACGTTGGTCGCATTTGCCAAGATGGATTCTGTTGTTGATAAGGGGATACGAATTCTTCTTTCTCTAAATTTCGCAGCCTCATGAAATTTTTATAAATAACAAATTTCTTCATGTTTACAAATCAGAACTTAAATCTGAGACACTAATTAAAATTTTGACATCCTTGTTGCTCGACCCACCCACCAATTGCATGGGATCGGAGGTACAAATTTGACACCCTTTTTATGTGACGGTTCCAATATCATCATGCATCAACACGGGGAATGATATAATATTCTAATATATTAATTCTAAAAGATATTAAATTTTGACAAATATATTTTGGTATTAAATAATATTAAAATTTATGTAATATATATTATATTTAATATATAATTATTTAACAAAAAATAAAATAAAATATATAATACTCATCAATTTTGCAAAGAAATATATACACTCCAGTGAGATTTACTATTATATTTTTAAATTGAAAATCTCTTATATACTCCAATAAAATTTATTCGATATTTATTTTTACTTTTTATTATATCCGTTTAGTAAAACATTAATCAGTTTTTTTATAATATGTAAAGAAATTTCAAATATTATAAATGTTAGAGCATGTCAAAATATCGAGAAATGTCAGGTATCAAAAAGTGTCGAACACGATACTTCAAATTTTTTGAAGTATCGTGCTACATAGTCAGTTACAACATTTCCCACTTGTAGTTTTAATAGCAATATAATTATGACAGATGAGTATATTGGAGTCATAAGAATTGACTTACAATGAACCCTTTGAGACTAATCATGAACTTTCTTAGCCAAGATGATGTAGAATTTTGACTTGCAATTAACAGAACCGTTAACAATATTTTCTAGTTTCCAAGCTCTACATGTGATATTTTCATAGCACAAAAGCAAAAACAGTAAACAAATATCAGGAATAAAAGAATGACACATAGGAAAATGATATTGCTGTAACTTGTAACAATTTTTGAGGATGCAAGTTCTAGACTCTAGGAGGGTGAGTTCAAGTGGGAGGCCTTGGGGAAATCTCTTCTTGTCTGCACAGTAATTGTAAATTATGTAGTTCTTTTGCACCCACAGAAGCCTCTGCTGACCGGTTGAAGAACATGAGGAAAAATTGTATACACTTTATTTGATATTGTCTTATTAAACATGAGTAAAAATTACATACCATATATAATCTTTTTTCATTCACTTGATTTTGTTTAGCTCAATATTTTTTTAATTATCTGTCTTATACTTGCTGGTCTTTTTTTTGACATTTGTTCTTTCATTCAGATTTTTGACACTTTGTTTCTATTCTTTTTTATATGATACCTCTCATTCTCATTATGAGGTTTTTGCAGAATATATTATTTGATTTATTTCATATTTATAGTTAGAAATATCGTCTATTAAACTTGAAGCACCAATTTCATAAGAAATTTCATCTCAAAGAAATCAACATATAGGAAAAATTGATCCAAGTTGGGCACATCGTAAACAACTTGTTGAAGAGAATGGAAAAATTGTTCTAGTGTGTCTCTATTGTGATAAGATAATTAGGGGATGTGACATTAATCAGCTTAAAATCTACTTGGATAGAAAAAAATGGCAAGTTGAACAATGCAAGAAGGTTCCAAAAAATATTCATTTCAAATGGAGCAAAATATTGATGACGGCAGGAAACAAAAAAAAAAGTCCAAGAGGAATATTAAGATAATAAACCATTTGATGAAAATAGGGTGAGAGAAGTAGACGATGCAATGCTAGAAAATTCATTAAGAAAATCACATTCTATATCTCAAAAGGGGGAGAATATTATTCCTTTAGGTTCTTTTTTTTAAATAAATAAATAAATAAAAAGTAATGGAGAAATGTGACCTCGTAATTTCCAAATGGATGATTGATTCTGGTGTGCCATTTAATGCAGTTAATTCATCATATTACCAACCAATGATTGATGTTATTTGTAGCATGGGTTCAGAATATAAAGGTCCAAACTTTTATAGAGTTCGTGATCATTTGTTGAATAAGTGGGTTGGAGAAGTCAATAAACTTGTTGAGAGTTATCGCACTGTTTGGAAGCAAACAAGATGCACTATTATGGCATATGGGTGGACTAATCGTTGTAGGAGAACTCTTATTATTTTTCTAGTTTATTGTCCAAAAGGTAATATTTTTCTCAAGCTGGTGGATACTTCTAATGCTTCCAAAAATGCAGATTTGTTGCATAAGCTTTTTAGAGATGTGATGTTAGATGTTGGCCCTAAAATTGTTGTTCAAGTTGTGACTGATAATGCTACAAATTATATGGCTGCTAGATGGTTATTGGATGTTGAGTTTCCTAAGATTTTTTGGTCTCCTTATTGCGCTCATTGTATAAATTTGATGTTTAACCCCTAACATGTTTATTGCATGTATCTTGGGTTGAACATGTGTAAGGATGTGCAAATATTGTCTCTTACGCATGAAAAAACTTTATTTTCCCCTCTTTTCGTGTTCATGGCTTACAAGGGCTTTTTTGACAAAAATGTGTGACACTTTTCACGACTGAGGCTTGCAAAGAAATATTGTGGGTGAAGACGTTTTTCTCATAACTTGGCCATGATCAAGACAAGTACGAGCTGAAGTGTGATTTTGTTGGGATCCTGCCTTTCTTCAAATGGAACGAACAGATATAGAATCAAAGCGATTTCCTAAATGTCGTAACTCTCCTCAGATCTAAATAGACTGAATAAGACACATAACGAATCAAAAAAGGATATCGGATAATTAGAATTAGAGAGTGAAACAAGCATTTTGGGGATAGAGGGACTTGTCCGGATCTGCACGACTTTCCGGATAATATCCATAAATTACTTGTTTTTGGTAGGATATGAACATTACTATACATAAATTCTGATGCATGGTCCACATTGGCATTCCAATGCATTTCTCCCCCAGAATCAATTACGGGTAGGTGGACATTTTATCAGATGTTTCTATTATATCAATCTACCCCTGTGTGATTCTTGTTGAAGCATATAATGGGGGATTGCAGGGTAGACGATTTCAAAATGAACTTTTCATTCAATAGATAGAGAAGATCACCAATAGAATGAAATAGGACCACTTTAAGGTTCCCCATGAAATAAGGCATGGAACGGAGCCACTCGTGAAGGAAACTATCAAAGCGCTATTCATCTGGAAAAGAACTCGACCTATCACTCCTGCACTAAACACATTGACGTGAGGTATTACTAGATTTGGGATGTGATGGAGGATGGATAGCTCAAACTCATCAAAGTGCATACCGACCTGAACTGGTCCGACATTATGACAAAGTCGGTTCCTACTAGGAAATTTGAAGATTGCTGCTAAGGTGCCGGGCTACTGAACCCGATGGATTAAAGTCGGAAGGGGGAGATTTCTCGGGGTGGTTCCTCTATTAATGCTGGCATGCACCACATTTAATAGGTGTAGGGCTCAAGACTGTCCAACCACCTCAAGCACCATAATGATTGAAGAAGATTCTGGAAAAAATGAAGAGTTCCTCTCAACTTATATAAACCCATGAAGATCTTTGTAATAGGTTAGAAGCTTAAGAGAATTTTGAATCCTCTCAACTTATTCATCTGCCATCTCTTCGTCGTCGCTTCTTCGGCTTGTAAGTGCTTTGATCTCTCTGTGACTCATCCCTCTCTCTGATCTCTCTCTCATATTTTAAATAAATTATTTTAAATGTTGTTTTTGGGTTATGATTCTTTCAGGCTTATTTGAATTGAACTGGTTCTGATTGTTTGTTTTGTTGTTCTTTATGGTGATTTGAAGGAATTGGTGGGGTTGGATTCACTCCTCACGTAATCTTGGTGGACCCTGGCGGGGTAATGCTTCCTCTTGGTTGCAATGTATTGAAATGCTGAATTATATGACTGCTAAAGTTAGTTGCTTTAGTTTATTGGTAATTTTTGTGACTGAATACTTGAAATAACAATTATTTAGATTCACTATTAATGAATACGATCAGAAAGATTTGAACTGTGACATGGAGTTATTGCTTTTGGTTGTAACTTATCCATTTTAAAGAACAGTCTTGCGATGATTATTGTCTTGTAATTTCTTTAAATGTTTTTATATTGTTTTGGGAGTTGGCACTAATTTCAATGCTATTGCTCTATGAGGTAATTCGATATTGCTCAAGAAGGTTGCCTTTGTTACATGTGAAATTGCTACTAGTTGCTCGATCAATGCTTTTGTATTATAGCATGGGCTCTTAATAAATTATCCGTATTCAAGTTCATCAAATTCTCTTATAAATGTTGGTGTGAAGTGTGATTGAATTTTGGTATCTCGTTTAATCAATTTACGAATTTATGAGATGTATCTCATTATGGTTTCATCACTTCATGTGTGATAACTTGGCTTCATTTGTACCGATTATTGACTGGATCGTTAGATTATTGGTTCAACTGAGATCAATCGTATATACTTTTTATATATTAAAAATATATAAATATATTACTTATGATAATATAAAAAAAGTGAATAGAAATAAATACTATAAATAAATGATAATAATATATATTTTCCTAGGAATAAATAATTTTTATAGCAATATAAAAAATATATTTACCTTAAAAATATTATTTAATATCAAAATAGTTATAATTTGTAGAAGGATTTTATAACAGTTATGTTATAGGGAAAGTGATTGTGTAATGTTATAGAGATTCGTTTTGCGCGCCGTAATTTTTTTTTTTTTTTTCTTCAAAAATATGTAAATCCAACAAAATATTACATGTGTAGCATGTTAAATCAGAAATGTAGACCCATAGAAATATGACATTTTTTTTAGTTGCTTTGTTTTTCTAAGGTTCATTTATATTTTTCAGCTGGAGCTAGAACTGAAGCCTTCAAAAGTGACTCGGCGATGGCCGGAAACTACTTGCCGACGGTTCAGCTCACCGGGAGTGGCCGGCCGGTGCTTGTACCGAACGAAATCGAGTGCTTCTTCCTCTCAGGCGTGGACCTTCTCTGCGAAGGCGAGTCCTACACTTGGTTCCCTCATCTGAAATCGGGTCTCCTCATCCTCACCACGCACCGCCTCATCTGGCTCTCCGATTCCGCCGCGGGCTCCGCCGTATCTGTTGCCGTCCCCCTGAGCGCAATCTCGCACATCTTCTCTCACAAGAAGTCCCTCAAGTCGATGTTCGCTTCCCCGAGGGTCCGTTTCCAGGTTGCTCTGGTGGCGGAGGGAAGGGTTTTGCCGTCGGTGGTGGTGACGATTGTGGTGAGGGGGAAAGGGGACTGCGATGCGTTCTTGGCCAAGTTTTGGGAGAATTGGCGGGCCAGGGCGTGGGAGGAGGCGGAGAATGCTACGAGTTCGGGTTCGAATGCGGTGGCAGCGTCGTCGGTGGCGGCATCTTCGAGCGGGATTTATTCGAGTGACGGGACGGTGAGGATGGTGGGAGTGTCGGGGATATTGAGGAAAGAGCAGGAAATGTGGGAGAGTACTGATCGGAGCTTGCAAGAGGCTTTTCAGGATTTGAATGCTCTCATGGTAATGTCTTTATGTCTACTCTGATTGTGTAAAAAATATATATACATTTTTGTTTTGCTATTTTGTTTTTTATTTATTTGTTTATGGTTATTGCACCTAATGATATATACTATGATATATATTTGGAAGGAACATTGCACAACGGTTAGTGTTAGTTGCCATGAGATAGGAAAATGTAATTAGCCTCTTATACAAGACAAGACAGACCCTTCAGTGAACTCTGCACATAGCGGGAGCTTTATAGCATCAATTTGCCCTTTTTTTTTTGGACCAAATGAAGGTTATGTTGAGGTTTGGTGGAAGGAGGAGAAATTAGATGAATTGAATTCTGTTTACCAAAAGTCTAGTTGGTTTTGTAGTTGAGGGAGCCGTAATTATGGCTTGGGAGGATTTTGTTTAGAATTAAGAAGTGCATCATTTTCACAAATCTTTATGTTTATTGCGACTTGCTTGGGCTGAGTTACAAGGAAATATTAGGGGGTTATTGCTGTGTTTGCAGATATAGGCTGCATGTTTATGATGCTGGCAAAGGTATTCTAAACCATGTTATCCCTACAACTCAATCATGCAGATTTCTGAAATTTTGCTTTTGTTTGTCTTGAAATTTAGGCTGTGTTAATTTATGTATATGGAGTAATTTGTGGAAAATGAGCATTTTTCTCTTTTTATGCTTAGTTAAGCGAAGAGGAAACATCAATTAATTTGATTGATGAGGACTAGTAAGGCGAATGATCTCTGGTCCTATATGTTACTTTTATAGGTGAACTTGTGAGCTGCGTTTTCCCTTTATGTTGTGAAAACAGATGTAAACTCGTTCTTTCTCCTACTTGATTGTGACAATTGTAGTTAGGTCTAGAAGTATTTTGGTACTGAAATTCTTTAACTAGTTTTGTTTTTGGCTTGTGTTAAGCGAAAGCTACTCTAAGTTTTGGGTTGATGTGGGTTTGCAGAGCAAGGCTAAAGAGATGGTGACGCTAGCAGAGAGAATGAGACAAAAACTTTTGTCTGGCTCAAGTTCTCAAACCAATGCAACTAATGATGAAGAGATGGTTTCAAAGGAAGAGATGCAAGATTGGTTATTGAGTGTTGGTATAATATCCCCTGTTACCAAAGAGTCTGCGGGTGCTTTGTATCATCAACATTTATCTCGTCAGGTTCTCTTATCTGTCCTCAGTCATGCATTATTTCTTAGTAATAAAAAAATCATGCAAATTGTAAGATATTCTTTTAAGAAGGATTATTATTATTAAATTTGGTCTTTTTTCCTTAACATTTAAAAGATTGATTTGATATAAAGAATTCATAGTCAAGGATTTTTTTATCATGGATGCTTTTTATTCCTGCTATTTTAAATGCAGGGATACTCATGACTTATGTTGTTCAGTGATTGCAAAAAAAAAAAAGTAATGGTTTGCAAAGCTCATGGGGACATTTAAGGTTTGCTAGTTCACCAAAATAATGAAATATTTTTAAAATATGATTATAGTTTTTAACCATATGTTGATGAACATATTGAAGATGAATTTGTCTTTGCCTTTGTTGATGACAATTAAGGACTGACATGGCCAACATGGGACTATTATCAAGGGCAGCTGGTATTGGAGAAGAAAGTAAAAATACTAGAAAGTAAGCCTAAAGGGATAACATCAGCAAAGTCAGAATAAGGCTAGAATAATATGGATTAATTAGAATACAGACGATATTCTTGATGTGCATAAAAAAACTATGGTTGAAATCATTATTCATATAAAAGATAGTTACGGTATCTATTTCTTTGCATTACCCAATTGTGGTCGCAAGAGCCTGGGAAAAGCTCTCTCACTCATTCTCATTCCTGGGGCGGAAGAAATGAGTTGTTGATTTTGATATTTTGCTTACTAACCTACCTTCAGGCTGTGTGTGCATATATTTTGATATTTTTTCTCGCTTCTATAGAAGTAATGGGAAAAACAATGTTCTGTCTTTTTAAGGTTTTGGAGTTAATTAATGGTCACTTGACTGCCTTTTGTTAGTTTTCTGTTTGTTTAACTAATCTGTCCTTGCTAATACTTAGTTGGCAGATTTTGTTAAAGTTCCACTTGACAGAGCAGGAGGGATTATCAATCTTATTGATATTTATTGTCTCTTCAATCGTGCTCGTGGCACAGGTTTCAGTACTCTGTCTTTTGTTTTCGCTCAGACATGTTTATCTTTCAAGTTTTACATTTTTTGAATTAATACCTCCCTTGTTTTGGTTGTCTAATAAACAGAATTAATCTCACCTGATGATTTGATGCAAGCATGTTCTCTTTGGGAGAAGTTTGATGTGTATGTATGACATTAGCCTTCCAATATACTAACTTCTTTTACTCTGTATTGGTAAATTGTGGGCATAGTATAAGCATGGAGATTAGGTGCCTTCAAATCATACTCCTTGGGATTCTACCTTGTTTAATACTTTAATGCAATCCCCTTTTTTGTTCGATTATGTTATTCATTTGTTTCTCTTGTCTATTTTTATTTTTACTTTATTTTTATTTCATTTCTTTTTCTCATCTTCTTTTCTCTCAATCATTTTTTGTTTTTTATTTGGGTCATTAACCACCGATTCAAACTAGTTTGGGATAAATGTATTATTGATGTTATTCATTTGTTTCAGCCCAGTGGTTCTACGGAAGTTTGATAGTGGAGTCATGGTAATACAAACTAAGTTCCACAGCGATGAGGAGGTAAGTTCATTTTATCTTTTTGTTTGTGGTCATTTTTATAACTGTTTTAGGTTTTATTGTTGTTATTGACTCGGGAAAATAATCCCTGTCTTGTGGTGTGGGAATAATATGGATTTTGTGTAGTGCATTAATTGTGAAATTGTGGGATCAGATTAGTGGATTGTTGTAGAATAGCTTGTATTTATACTAATTATGTTTTTCTAATGAGCTCTGAGCTCTTTAGACTTGTGCTCAGTTTCTTCCCAGATAGTGTAATAGGTCGGGGTGGGTCCTACAAGTGAGGGGACACCTGGACCATCTGGGACTGAGGTCCAGAGCATAATTGTATGTACCAGACCAGTTGGCTAACCAGATCACAAAACTAGTGGCTTTGGCTCCATGGTCAGTCCGGTTGAATTTTGCTGACTGTACTTTGAAATGAACTGGTTAAATCTGTTGAGCTGATATAAACATAAAAAAATCAAGCTGTTAATGAGCTCTGCAGAAACCTAAGGAACAAAGATGAGAACGAAAAGTGAAAGAAATTGAGAGTCCGTTTGTGTTCTGTTTTTTTTGTTCTTAAAACTATTTTGTAGAATAATTAATGAAATAGGTGTTTTCTTTGTGTTTTTGTTTTGAAGGTTAAAAGTCAAAACACAAAACAAAAATAACTCAGATATGTTCTCTAAATTTGAGTCTAAAAACTAAAAAATAGTTATAATTTTTAGAATTATTTTTACAAAACAGGTCTTATCAAACGGGTTTTTTGTTTTTTATTCTGAAAATCAAAAAAATATTTTTGAAAACTGAATTCAAACATACCCTGAATCTATATTTTTCAGAATTGCGAGAAATATAATGGAGATTGGATTTTCTTCCTCTGCTCCTTTGTCTTCCTCTCCTTGACTCTGTTTGCATTTGAGCTTCATAGCATTCACAACTATAAAAATTTTATCGCTTCCCTTCACTTGTATGAAGAAGCATTCTTGTTTTTTCTTCAGCTTCTCACTTTTTTATCTTTTCTCGCTTTGAATGCATTTGTGTAACTTTGATTTTGGTTGCTTTATGCATTTTTGTTTTGCTTGCACGTTTGGAATATATTTGTCCTTTTTATCTTAAAAAAGAAAATTTGGCATGGGAGCATGAAACTGTCAGTTCATCTTGCATAAATTTGGTTGCTTACTGTTTGTATTTCTTCCTGTTGGAGCACTGGACCAGTTTGAACTAGTTATCATGTGACCGGGCCTTTTGGCTAGTTTGATCTCCGGTCTAGGTTATGGAAAGCTCTACCTTTTTGGAATTGTTTATACGGAAAGCAATTCAACTATTGTTATTTAACCAAATATGTCAAGTTGATATTCTAATTCTAAAGTTGAACTTCGGATCTCCAATTCTTATTTTTGAGAAGATTTTTATATTTGTAATGGATTATACAATATCTGTCAAATTATATTGATTTCCCTTAACTGATTCTTCCATCTGCCATATAAGTTTCTTGGGCTACGATGTGTTTGTAATCTACCTTTAATAGGTTGCCACGAGAACGTTTATTATATTTTAGATTACTGATTTCAATCTTCTGCACTGATTTTTTATATTGGATGAGGTGGATTTTTTTTTTTGTTAGGTTGTCAATCTTCATTTACATCTTTGTCAATTTTTTATATCACTGACTGCTGTTCGGTGTAGGTTTTCACTAAAATCAAGGTGCTTGTTATGAAGCCTGATGCTCTTCGAGCTGGGATAAGTGCTAGTGATGCTGCCATGACACTGGGAGTTGCCCCGGCAATGGCAAAGGAGCATCTCTTGTCTGCTGAGAGCAAGGGTACACAGCTGCACCACTTTCTACAATACTTTTAGCAACCTGACTACTCTGTTCTGATTTCTGTCGAATCTTTCCCAGGTGTACTATGCAGGGATATAAGCCCTGATGGATTTCGCTTTTATATTAACTTGTTCCCGGAAATTGATCGAGATGATATGTATTTGTAAGTATACTTTCTATGCTTGATATGTAGTTTGGCTTTTGTTTTAATATAATGTTTTGGCTTATTGATATTCTGGTCAAACCTGTTCCTGCTTGAGCTAAAATTTAAATGTACTAAGGCTACAATATTTGATGTTTGTTCAGTATTCCGTGTCCAGTTGTCATTACTGTTTGTTTTATCTTTCCCATGCTCTTGTTTATTTTTTCAAATCATAAATGAGATAATGATTGAATTCCTTCTCATCAAGAAATGTAACTTTCCCTTCTGTTGCAGCCTTTTTGTAGTTTCATGGTTTCAAGATAAATAACCAAAAAAAGTCTTCCTACTTGAAATATATAGATAGAGTATGCTTTTGATTTTATTTAAAATTAATGCTTCACTTTTGAAATCCATATCATTGGCCTTGCAGTCCAGCTTTCTGCTTTGTAGCCGCTCAAGAGTTATTAATTACTATCCCCGTTCCTGCTTCTCATGGGTTTCTAGTTTGATATGTTGTTTCAATTATAGAAAATGATTTTGTTTATTGATTGCTTTCATAAGCATAAGTTCTTGCATACTGCCATGAATGCAGAGTAAAAGATCAAGGGATTTATCACTCATGGGTAAGGGCAAGCCATGCTTGTGGTTAGAGTTGCAAGCTTGTTCAATTCAATTCAATTTAAGGTATGGATAAATTTTCAGTTAGTTTATGTGTACTTTGCTGCTTTTAGTCATTCTCTACTTCGAAGTTCACGTTTTCTCTTTTTGCTCAGAAAATTTACAGATTGACATGATTGTTGAGTCAAGGTTAATGTTGGGCTAACGATTTCAAGACAAGCCCATATCCTAACAAGTTAATATATACAGTACGTCGAATTGGGTTAGTCTTTTCGAATGGCGTTACTACGTTGGATATGATCCAATTAAGGCATGGCCTGAGGCAGCAGTTTTGACGATTCTTGAACACTGTACCATATTGTACAGTTGAGACGGGTTACTTCAACATATTGCTAGGGGTTTCTTGCAATTTATAGACATTGCTCAATACATGTTCCGAAATTATCAAAATAAGAGACATTATCGGTCATGCTCTCAATAGGCCATGTTATGTCAAGTGAATTTCTAAAAAGGGGTGGGGAGGGATTGACAAAGAAATGACAAATGAAAGAGTAGGGTCCAGGACTCTAGGGTGTAAATAGGTTGGGTTAGTCTAGGGTTAAATAGGCTAGAGTTATATGAATTATTTTGAGTTTGGTTTGACCAATTAATCTAATGTAAGTTAAATTATAGGGTTCACCCTATTAATATTTCAAAAACAAAAGGTCTAGTCTACGCCTAATTAATCTATTTAATCCTATCAAATCTCCAGATCTTCAAGATTTTTTTTTAAAAAAGATTATTTTATTATTTAAATAATTGTATTGTTTTTTTAAAATAATATAATTGAGGTCGACCTTGAGATTTTATAGGCCAAGCATCATGAAAGTTTATGCCTACAATATATTTATTAAACACGCTTTTTAAGGTATGAGTCAATTATTTTTTATTAAATAAACTAGGCCAGGCTTGACTTAATGTGTAAGCCCTTAATAGGCCTCATGAATTATTTACAGCACTAGGCGAGACTGGACATATTTTGGGTGACAGAAGAGCTTAATAAAATGATAAGTAGGATGTAATTTCTTTTTGTTTATTCCATTCAGTCATTTGATATTTTATTATAAGGGTATGCTAAAAATATTAAAGGCAATAAATATTAATTGTAATTGATATCAGTCAAAATTAATTGATATTCATTCATTTATTTTATTAATGTAATTTGAAATGCTAAAATCATAAATTTAATAAATATTAATGTTAATTGATACCAATAAAGATTAGTTATTAATAATGAGATATAATATTCTACCTATTTTTTTTTGGTACATTGTCAGGAGGTATCCCCATTCAACCTTCTCGGGGCACCATGCCCTCGGGGTACGGCCCGTTTGGGCTAGCCCCTCATTGTAACAATGAGTGCACTAAGCTTCGCAATCGGAGAAAGGACGAGACTAATCTCCCCCATTCAACCTTCTCCGAGCACCATGCCCTCGGGGTATGGCCCGTTTGGGCTAGCCCCTCATTGTAACAGTGGGTGCACTAAGCTTCGCAATCGGAGAAAGGACGAGACTAATCTCCCAACCGAACAATCCCTTGGGAGCTCAGCTGCCAACTGAGCTACCCTTGGGAGTTTATTCTACCTATCTTTTTTTTGCCTGTTATACCTACTCATCTTCAATACTATTGGATTAGAATTTCGTTATTCTTTTCTTTTGAAATTTTGATGCAATGGCGTTAAATATGAGTAGGTAAGGTAGACAAGAAAAAAAAAAAGGTAGGTAGAATAATAATATCTCAATAATAATATGATATCAAGTGATGTGTTGGGATGTAGAATATTATGTTATTATTTTATAAATGCTAAAACATAAATCGTTTAAATTATAGATCAACGAAAATAAAAGCAAAAAGGGGAAATTTTTTGACAATATAAAAATATATGGGGAAAGTATTTAAATGATATAATATGGTATCTTTTTAAGTGAAACGATTTTTAAAAAATCACTTCACTTATTTTTTTTCCTCAAACAAAAAAAAAACCACTTCATTTAAATAACGCAATATTAAAAAGAATATTTGATTCATTGGGATTTGCGATATATTTGGCTATTTGGCATATGGAAGCAAGCACAAAGCTTAACGTAAGTTTTCACTTCACTTGCAAATGATTGTCCTTTCAGTTGATTTTAATTAAGATCGAAATTGTTACAATTCTTGGTATAGAGCTACTAAGAATCACTCCAGAAAACCAACTAGCAGAAAGAGAAAACATAAAGAACAACACCAGAATTTATACTTGGTTCAGAAATTCTTTGTAAAAGAATTTCCTACATCCAAGTTGGCCAGTGAGGGTCAAACGCCCTCTAGCATGCACTAATATTCAGAACAGAATAGTACAAAAATTATGTTCAGCAAATCCAGCAAAACAGAAATACAGATACAAATATTACAAGACAAATAACCGAGGAAGATAACCAAGATTACAGATGTATATCAAATGACAAAGAAAGATCATCAACAGCAAAGAAACAGAGAAAGATATCACCAAGACTATGAGCAAACACCAAGCACCAGTGTCTCCAGCTCCTCCAACCACACGAATCCCTCTTCTCAAGTTGGGAACGTCACCATGCTCAATCTTCTTTGGCTGTATGATGAATCTCCAGAAAGTGCACCGAACAATAGCTTCTCCTTGACACAAGGATCACTTCTCACCAAAGAACCGAGATGAGATTCTCAGTTTATCTTCCTCAAAATGCCTCACCAAGGTTCACGAACAAACCCTAAGTTTCTTCTCTCAAGAACGATTTTATCAGAGAACGAAGAAAATGAAAAAGTGTATCTTAATCCGGTTTTCAACGCATCAGCACATATGTATCATTAACTCAGTAGCCAAGAGAATGAAACGGTGCGTTTTTGTTACTCATATGCTTATTAACAAAATGACCAGCATGTGGGCCTTAGCAAACCAACACAAAATATTCATTGGCCCAATACAGTAAATAACCCAAACTGAAACAAAAGTCAGTAAACATATCAGCCCACATAATAGGTAATAATTCTTGTTTAGAAAATAAACTAACAGAAATGAATTATGTAATAAGATTTGCTTAACGCAAATGTGCTATACAAGCAAAAGAAGCATAGAGGAAATTAAATCGAGGTGTTAGAACTCGAACTGCATGTTTGATGTGTACCCAAGTGCGTCAAGGTGAGCAGCCATTGCTTTATTCATCGGAATAGTGACCTTTGTGTCACTCTTAGAAGATAAATTGACCTAAATGCCACGCCAAAAAATAATTTTATCAAACTGCCACAAGGGCAAGTTCGTCCAGAGCTGTAGCAAATTTGGTATGCTGATATGTCAGCTTCCTGGTAGTGTCAGAGTTCGCTTCTGACAGGTGAGGCATTAATTTCAACCGAGGTTGTGTTAGAAGCGAACTCTGACACCACCAGGAAGCTGACACATCAGCATACCAAGTTCGCTACTGCTCTGGGCGAACTTGCTTTCATGGCAGTTTGGTAAAATTATTTTTTTGCATGACATTTAGATAAATTTATCTTGGAACAATGGCACAATGGTCATGGTTCCTTATTCATCAGGGGTGGACCACACCTAAATATCTGCACTATTTGTTGGATATGGTTCATACTTCGCATGGTGACGAGAGTCTTTGTTGTAGGGGTTACCAAAAAGGCAACAAAGCGGGGGTCCGAAGGAGCCGCCCCGGTGGGGTCCGGGAGGCAGCACCCCCGTGTCGGTAGAGACTAGGTACTGTTGTAGGTCTCTGATTTAATATAATTTTCTTAATAATTTGAATTTGCGCTCATGAATAGCTGGTGTTAGAGTTTTCTAATTCTAATTATATTTATATTTGTTTGCTACTTTTTCTCACAACAAAAATATCAAAATCTTGTGTAAATTTTTAATGCCAAACAAATATTACACATCACGAAAGGTATTGTAGAAAATTTTGCATTGTTAGGTCCAATATTTTCAAAATAACTTGTCTTGTCAATTGATTACCAAAAAGTAAAAAATTAAAAATTGTGTTGTAACTTAATTACATGTGCTGTGGTGTTTTTCTTATCACGTTTTCTCGTGTGCATTAAACACAACCTAAAATCTTAACTAGTTAAATCAAAGGCAAAAGTGATTATTATTTTAAATGACATAATTTTATGTTATTTTTAATGAATTTATATTGTTTTGATATATTTTATTATTTTTTCTCTTTTTATAAAATTAAAAAAAAAAGTGAAGGAGAAAAAAAATTTAAAAACACACCAAAATGATATAGTTTCATTAAAAAATAGAGACCAGATATTGTTATTACCAATTAGTATTATTATCAATGTTACTACCAGTTTATTTCACTTAGATTGATTTAACAGTTATATTTATTTTTACTTTTGTATAATTATGATTTTTCATATTTAATACTTTTACATTAAATATGAAAAATCATAACCATGTAAAAATAAAAATAAAAATAAAATATTAAAGATATGATGAATTTTTTTTAAGAAAAAGGGTAAAACAAATTAATAATAATATTGATAGTAATAATATCTTATTCCTAAAAAATAAAATAAGGTTGTGTCAATGATAAACACTTTTTCCGATTACAAAAAGACAAAATCTATTTTTGTCGGTCGACGGCGTTGAATAAGAATAACTTTGTCAACGACGGCGTGCGCGGTTTCCACAGTCCCGTAAATCTAGCACGTGTCATATTTGTAGATACCTTCTTCCTTCTACCTTTTCTGAATTCACCATCAACCAAACCTAACTTCATTTTTATTATTCTTCTCACAACTCAAAGGATTTAAACAAAAAAAACAAAACAAAAAAGAAACAGGTATGCAATTCTCCTATTCAGAACTCAGAATTTTTCAGCGCTTCAATCAAACATCTTTACCCTAACTCGTATGATTATGCTTGTTTGGATTAGGTTTTCTTGGATTTTTGAATTTTGATTTGTTCGTTTAATCAAAGATGTTAGAGCAATTACTGATATTTACAAGGGGAGGATTGATCCTCTGGACGTGCAAAGAACTCGGCAACGCTCTGAAGGGATCGCCGATCGATACGTTGATCCGATCGTGTCTTCTGGAGGAGCGATCTGGTGCGGCGTCGTACAACTACGATGCACCAGGTGCTGCATACTCCCTCAAATGGACCTTCCACAACGACCTTGGCCTCGTCTTCGTCGCCGTCTATCAACGGATCCTTCACCTCTTGTACGTCGACGATCTCCTCGCCGCCGTCAAGCGCGAGTTCTCGCAGGTTTACGATCCCAAAAGAACCGTTTACCGAGATTTTGACGAGACTTTCAGACAGCTGAAAATCGAAGCCGAGGCTCGCGCGGAGGATTTCAAAAAATCGAATCCTGTGGCTGTGCGTGGCAACGGGAAGCAGCGAGGGACTGTGCAGGGGCAGGGGAACAAGGCTGGATCGGAAACGAAGAAGAGTGATGGTGCTTTGAAAAATGATGGTGATGGCGAAAAAGGACGTAAATTAGAGAACGGCAATTTTGTTGTTGCTAACGATACTAACTTGAATAGTTGTAATAATAGTGTGAATGGTAAAGAGAATGAGAGTTCCAATATTGGGGCTTTTGATGTAAATAGGCTTCAGAAGCTTAGGACAAAAGGTGGGAATGGAAAGAAGACAGGTACTACTGTTGTTGCCAATGCCAATGCCAATGCCAAGGTAGAGCCCAAAAAGGTGACGAAGAAAAACAGGGTTTGGGATGATTCGCCTCCTGAGGCCAAACTGGACTTTACGGATCATGTGGATGTGGGTGAGGATGGGGACAGAAACATTGATTTTTTGGCGAAGGAACAAGGGGACAGTATGATGGATAAAGAAGAGATTGTTAGCAGTGACAGTGAGGCTGAAGAGGATGATGATAACACCGGGAAGAACAGCAAGCCTGATGCTAAAAAAAAGGGGTGGTTTTCCTCTATGTTCCAGAGGTAAGATACTAAGATTTATGAACTGGTGAAATTAGTCTTTATATGTTGTGCATTTTGTTTGCTTTATTGGCTTCTTTCAGATTTGTGTTTAGTAGTTTACGTTACAGTATGTATGGGATTGATGCCGTGGTGCTTGAAATCCTGAAAAAATGTATATAGCTCTACATTGGATGTTCTACTTTGTATGCGGAAGATTTTATTGTTTATTGTATCCCTCAAGGGGTTGAGTATGTCGATGTATGGGTGCTCGGAGTGACAATGGTATGGGCCAAAGCACAATATGAGCTACCCAAGTGCAACATAGATATATCTGCAATGGGGTTGGTGTGTCATGGCGATGGTGGCTCTAAATCTCAGCAGAATAACAACTCATAAAAGTGTGAGAAATCTAATGCCTCTTCGATGGGAGAAGAGGGGTTTATATAAGGGAATGGATATTCCGTAAACCAGAGAGAGATGAAAAAGCTGAGCACACTGTTAGCCTTGCCTCCACTACTGTTGTGAGGTGTTTTGCTCCCACTGTAACCCTGTTCAGGGAAGAGGGGATACTCTGTGATGAGACTCTTATGGTTCATTTTGGAGTGTCATCTGGAAGGTTCTAGACTTGAACCATTAATATTGTGTCCAACTTATTGGGCCCTGAGAGGTTGGCCAGAACAGAAACCTTATTGATATTTTCTTGTAATTTTATTAATTTGTAATGTTATAAGGTACTTGTTTGAAATTTAGGAAAGGAAAGGAATCGGAGTTGGGGACATAAATTGATGGGAGAAAGGATAAAGGAATTAAAATAAATTAAATAGTTATCTTGATCTTAAAAGCACTCCCCTCTTGTTATCAAAAAAAAAAAAAAAAAGCACTCCCCTCTAGCAAGTTGAATTAAGTTTTCCTTTTTTTAAAATCCGGGGATGCTGTCTTGTTTCTATTTTTCTTTTGCTGGTATCTACCATGGTGAAGCTTATTGCATTGTTTAGATGTAAATAACTTTGCACCTGCTACATTGACCGATGAATTTAGAAGCCTTGATTTTATAACTTTCTACTTTATTTCAATTCCCAGCATTTCACTGAAATGACTAATAACAATATTCCTGTACATCCCTGTGCTCAGTATTGCAGGGAAGGCCAATTTGGAGAAGTCAGACTTAGAACCAGCTTTGAAAGCTTTGAAGGATAGGCTCATGACGAAGAATGTGGTATGTATTTATCTTCAGCAGCATTTCTTGTGTCCGCCTGAATAACAAAATGGTTATCGATGTGCTTCTTTTTGCTCTTCTTAAGCTAGCTAATTTTGCTTACATTCTGTCACTTGTAGGCTGAGGAAATAGCTGAGAAACTATGTGAATCAGTTGCAGCAAGTCTTGAAGGCAAAAAGCTAGCTTCATTTACAAGGATATCTTCAACAGTGCATGTTTGTTTCTATCACCCAACCCTATTAACATTTGATGCTGGCTTTTTCTTTATAAATACACTTTCATAACATTCATACTGACACTATGGTTCAAAAAATAAATGCAGGCGGCAATGGAAGAAGCACTTGTTCGTATTCTAACTCCTAGGCGTTCTATTGACATATTGAGGGATGTGCATGCTGCCAAGGAGCAAAGGAAACCATATGTTGTTGTATTTGTTGGAGTTAATGGAGTTGGAAAATCCACTAATCTTGCTAAGGTGAAGGAATAGCATATTGTTTCTCCTATTTATTTAAGATTCCATCTGTTGGGCTTGCCTTTTAAGTTTTAACAAGGAGATATTCTATTTTTGTGTGCAATTGTGTAGGTTGCTTACTGGCTTCTGCAACACAATGTTAGTGTCATGATGGGTGCTTGTGATACATTTCGATCGGGAGCTGTTGAGCAGCTGCGGACCCATGCACGTAGACTTCAGGTTTATATTGATTTTACTGCATAAAGATTAATGCATATATTCTTGCTTCATATCATAACTAGTTAGGGGAAGCATATTGTCTTATAATTTTCCTTTTCAGATCCCTATATTTGAGAAGGGCTATGAGAAAGATCCTGCCGTTGTGGCAAAAGAAGCAATTCAGGAAGCTTCACGCAATGGTTCAGATGTAGTTCTAGTTGATACAGCTGGTCGTATGCAGGTAATTATCGCAGTTTTTGTTCTAGTCAAGAATTTAATGATTTTATGAGTATACAAAATACTAGGCGACTCCTATTATTCAATATCTCAGTTTCTAGTCTTTGCAGTTACAGATAGTACGTCCATACAACGAACCTTCTTGCATTTATTTTATGTATATTGGAACAGAGGACCATCCTCTTATTGGATTGGTTGAATGATTTTGGCTATATTTGGATACTGTTTGTTTGTAAAGAACCAATTCAATTCAAAACCTTAAAGTGTTGGGTGAGGGTCTTTTTAATAGTTTATATTATTCTCTCACAAACACCTTCATACAAGAGCCCTTTGGGCTTGAAGCGTGGATATTGCACAGGCCCAATTTTTTGGTTTACCTTGTGCTTATTTAATTTCACTAGAAAATGGGAAGAGGTAAGGATTGAACTCGTGACCTTGTGGTCACTGAAGCTCTGATATCATGTAAAGAACCAATTCAACTCAAAATCTTAAGGTGTTGGGTGAAGACTTTTTTAATGGTTTATATTATTCTTTAACATTGGTGATGTTTATTTCGATGTTTTTATGTTCATCTGAAGTGTCACTGTTGGTTTTCAGGATAATGAACCATTGATGAGAGCACTGTCAAAGCTCGTCAACCTTAACAACCCCGACCTGGTCTTATTTGTTGGAGAAGCACTGGTTGGTAATGATGCAGTTGATCAGCTTTCGAAGTTCAATCAGGTTCAGCTCTATATATATAATATTTTTGTCCAGCTACAATTCTATTTTTGTTTCTGCTTTCTCTATATGAGGGCAAGTTAGAGCATCGGTAAGGTTGTTTCTTGTGACCGGAAGGTTAGGGGTTCTAGTCCTAGAAACGGTTTTTTTGCAAAAGTACAGGCTGCGTACAATCAACTCTCATCTATACCTTTGCTAGTCGGGAAGCCCTGTGCATTGGAGTTTGTCTTTTTTTGTTTTTTTACTTGCTTTCCCTATATCACAGTTATTGAACTGATCTATTTTGTTGCAGAAATTAGCTGACCTCTCAACATCTCCTACACCCAGATTGATAGATGGGATCTTGCTCACTAAATTTGACACTATTGATGATAAGGTATGCAAGTTCTAAAATGGCAAGGAGGTGGAATTTTGGCTGAGCATTTGGGTCTTATTGATGAATATTTATTGGTCTGTCGATGTTTCCTTTTGTCAGGTGGGAGCTGCACTTTCAATGGTTTACATATCTGGAGCTCCAGTCATGTTTGTTGGCTGCGGACAGTCTTATACTGACCTCAAGAAACTCAACGTGAAGTCAATTGTGAAGACTCTCCTTAAATGAGGAAACAAACTATATTATTTTCGCTTGTGATGTTGTTCACCGATGACCTGTCATGAATGTTTCTGTTTGATGATTCCCCCGTCGATCCCATTACTTTGTAAGCAAAACTAATGTGGCTATGACTTTGGAGGCAGTTTGGTTTGTTTATATTGAAAAGCTTCTTTCCTCTATCTACATTGAGATAAACTAACGTGTGTATCGAGTGAATTTTGTACATCACGTCCCAAATTAGAAAATAATAAGGACATAAAAGGAAATAAATAAAAAGCAAGGGATTCATATGGTATAAAAAGGAGGAGAGTACAGAATTCGGTGCTCTTGTAATATTAATTATTTTTTTCGTGTGTATCAATTGTCATCTAATTTTCCTTTAAACATGTGGCAATCGGCCAAAGAATGTTATGTTCTAGTTTTACTCCTTTTAATAAAACGAAAATATTTACCCAAAAAAAAACAAAATAAAAAAAACGAAAATATATTACCTTTTAATCTCATATTTTGTTTTATTTTACAAATATATCAAATAAAGAATAAAATTCATATAATACTTCCTGAAGCGGAGACTGTCCAAATATTTAGTGTGACAAACGAGTAGATATATGTAAGCATGTTAGGCATTTTTACAAGATAAAAAAATGAAAAGAAAAGTTTTAGTGTAACTTTAACCGTGGGTCATAGTTTCAAGCTTATGATAGTACTCAACTCGAGGCTGAAAGATATGACGATAGCAAAATGATCTAAAGGGTCCGCAACTCCAAGTTATATTTGATTGAAGTGAATCCATTTTCGGTACTTTATTAACAAAAGTTAAACGTATAATAACTTTGGTATGATTTCACATCAAAGATGACCAATCGATGTCCACACCAAAAGCACTAATTATAATTTGCGGACATAGACATGATCGTAATTACAATAAATGAATAATTGTTAGGAGCTGTAATTTTGTCATAATTTATTTTGTCAAAATAATGTGTCATGTTTAATTGTTTATTAACTTTTGGATGGATAAATAATTTTTACCACTTTATTCCATCCAATAAACCATCTTTCTATGCTGTCAAAATTTTGTCTATTCTATTTTGTTTTTTACAATGTAGCATTGCTCATAATAAAATTAGTAATATAACCTATTTATCCTTTTTTAATACATGATATATTTAAGTTAGATTTCAAGATCGAATAATCTTTTAAAAAAATTAATATAACTTAAAACACGATTCTCTTGTATTTTTTCTACTGAAAAAGAGTAGCTAGCATATTGTCTTTTTCAATTGTTATTTGTTCATTATGGATTAAAGCCAATCCTTTGTCCACAAAAGTTGGATGAGAAAAAAAAAAAATCTTACATGTAAAAATTTATACAAAAAAGTTAATATGATCCCCTAATTATTTTAAATTGCAGGGAATGATGATCGAATACAGTCCAACTTAGCATATCATATAAGGTAGAGTTCTTCACAAAAAAAGAAATCATATAGAGTGATGTTATTTTGGAACTCATGATTAACTTGTTAATACTTTGTTATTCTTTTTTTTTTCTTTTTTGGGTAAATAAAATTTTAGTCATTTTAATATCAGGATATGCTACAAGTCAACAAATGCTTAAACAGATACTTAACCTAGAAATGAAAATCTCAACAAGAATCAGATCTATAACCTTATATTAATACTGTTCAATGTTGTCAATTAAGTCAATCTTCATTTATAATACTTTCATCTAATTATATTCTACATTTTCTGTTTGTATTAATAATTTCTTTTATTAATATTGTGTAAAAGTTAACTAATGCATTTCATAAATGATCTAACATAAAAAGATAAATAAATTATAAACTGATCAAGGAAGTGTACTAATAAGTATAAAAATAAACATTTGCTCCTTGACCATGTACAAGCAGTATTTTCCTATACAGTCTAAGAGTTAACCATTTTCATTTTTTCTCCCTAGTCTTGAATGATAACAAACACATCAAGCGCTCCTTGACCTGCAATTAAAACACCATTTCCTAAGATTATAATTATAACGTGTAATAATATTACAGAGTCTTTTTTCTTTACAAAAATTATTATTAGTATGTGCCATTTAGGATTGTCATAAGTCACAAAGACGAACTCACTAGTACATGAATTGTTTAACTGAAGATGTGACGCCCTTCTTCTGCTGCCTCTACGTTGGAGCGAAAAAACATTTAACCCCTCAAAAAATGAACAGGTATATATATAACATGGTAAAAAGAAATATGACACAAACAAATGATAATTAAGTCACGGGACGATTTTTTTTTTTTTGACAGATAGGCCACTATGTATTTTTCACACATTTCCGTTAATTAATGAGTCGTGTCTTTCTTTTAAATTTTTATGTGTATATATAAATGCATCCTAAAGAATAACGAAAAGGTGCTTGGTTTAATTTAAAGAGCTCATGCACGTAATCTAAGAGGTTATTTTCGGGTTCTTGGCTCGTCAATTCGCCAAAATGTGGTGTTGCTTCAAATTGCCAAGTGGCTCTCATTCGGAGCATTATTATCACAACTGTTGAAGGCTATATTAATTGAGAACCCAAAAGCCAGTACTTAATTCGTCTCTCACACTAACCATCAATTAATGGGTTCTTTACCTCCATTATTGTTGATCATTTTTTTCTCTATGTGGCTGCTAATTTCCTGCTCTGAAGCCCGAGAATTTCTAGTTGGAGGCAGTGAGAATTCATGGAAGGTTCCTCTTCCATCACAAGATTCACTCAACCAGTGGGCCAAGCGTCAACGATTCAGGATCGGCGATGCTCTCAGTAATAACAACTATATATCCCTTTTTTATACTAGTATTTCTTTCTGTATTCGTTTTTTTTTTTCCTTTGTGAAATGAAAAATTATTAACCTGACTTTTACCTAACAGTTTTTGGATTAGCTTGCCTTCGCCTAGCACAAGCACCCGGTTTTATTAATAAATACTAGGATTTAATTAGGGGTGTAAATAAATTAGGCTAGGCTAGACTTTGCCTTAAATAGGCTTGGCTTGTGTAAAAAATAATTATCTAACCTGACCTGTTAGCCTGTGTAGGCCCCAAATTACAAGTTTCGCCTAACCTATATTTAAAAAATAAAAGTCTTGACCTAGGTCTGTTAGCCTGTTGAAGCCTATTAAACATTCAACAATTAAAAGAATAATTAAAATAATATTACTTTATTATTCAAAAGTATTAAAATAATAATTTTATTTAAAATAAATAATATGATATAGGTCGATCTATAAAGCTTATAGGCCCGATATGTACAAAAAAGCCTATAACCTGTAATCTAAATAGATTTTTTAAAAGCACATGACTATTCTATTTACTATTTGTAATAAGTCAAATCTGACCTAATATAGGCTAGGTCGTAGGCCACTGTAGGCTTGTCTAGCCCATTTACACCCCTAGATTTAACTATGAGTAATGAAGTTTGACAAAACGAAATAAATGAGGACCAACTAAGAGAAAGACCTATTAAGTGGGTCAGTGGAGCCTATGGTGGAAGACCATTATAAATGGGCTAAGTTAGATTAATCATATCAAATGGATCTGACATTAATATTTCAATCCAAAATCTTAAAATATTGAATTCATGGATCCTCCACTTATATGGACATCAGTTAATCCAATACACCAATGTTAAACTTCACCACACTTAAATATCCCAACAAGACTTATAAATCTTAAAATGTGATAGTGCACTTATTGTAACAAGTTTGTCTTAGCCTATTTAATTGTAGTTCTACTCCTAATAAATAGGGTGAGTTTGTGATTATTCACCCCCTCAATTTCAACGGACTCTTAAGACTTTTATATGCAACTTTTATCTTTCAGGTAAATAGGTTTTTCGAATGTATTTTATTCAGTTCATCGCTTTGATGTTAGTCCGATTCGGAGCGGGTTCCGAGTTTAAGATTTTGAATTGGTTCTTTGCATCTCTCTAATTGTGACATCCTCCTTAAGCAAACTAAATTCAACTACTCAGAGACTCTTGGAATTTGCATTGATTTTTCTTGCATTTTCTGTGTGTTTTAATTAATTAATAACAATTTGTTTGCATGTCCTATATGTACAGTTTTTAAATATGATAACAGAACAGAATCGGTGCACGTGGTGAATGAGAATGATTATCAGAGGTGCAATAGTGAGAGAGCGGAACACACAATATTCAGGGACGGCAATACCAAGTTCTGGCTTTCCAATTCAGGACATCACCACTTTATTAGTGCTCAGGGTCATTGCCAGATGGGGTTAAAGCTTCTTGTTGTCGTCATGTCTGAAATACACGGAGGAGGAACGTCTCATCCCCCGCCTCCTTCATCGTCAGCGTCACCCGCACCGCCATTTTCACCATCACCATCACCTTCACCGTCACCGTCACCGTCACCGTCACCAACTAATCAAGGTGTTGCTCGCGGTTCAAGCGGTGGATTCATCGGAATTGTGATGTGGTTGGGTGTTTCATTGGTGATGATGTTCTTAATTTAATAAAAAATATATATGTTTGTATTTGCATGAATTAATGTCTCCGTGACTACATGCAATATTTGTGTGGTCAAGTCAAGTTTTTTCGTTTTCATTTTGCTTATGTGTTTTCTTTTGATGGGAAAAGGGTTGTTTCGAGTCAGAAAGATTGCGCACTTGAACTCGAATGGCTGGTCTGAGTGATTTCAATTAAGCATGAATAAGTCATTTGGATTTAAATGTGTATTGGCTCTTCCCAAGTTATTGTTTCTCTAATTATAAATATGTTTTCTGCTTCTCATTTATATATTATGTATTCATTAATATTAATTTGCATAAATTTATTTGCACTTATATTCACCTTTTTGCCCTGCCACGTGTTCAGACGAATCCACATAACTAAATCTGAGATAAAGTGGTAAACAACTCTCTTGTATTTCTTCTAGCTCGACTAATTCTGAAGTAGGCTTATTAACGGTGACAATGTAGGACCTTGCCTTTGAATAAGTTGTCTCCATGTTCTCTAAGGAAATTTTTTAGATGATTTACTTATATTTTAAGCCCAAAGAATCTGTTAATATGCATTTTCAACTAACTATTCACATCACATAGGAAATAATAAGGGACATTTATCTAGCTACCTTTACAAATTACAATATCGAAATAACGGAATTATTACCACCATTGACCAACAAATTGAAATTATAAGTTATAACATTAACAAAAAGTTATAAATGATGGTAGCTTAGTTGGTTCATGGGAGCTGAACATGTGGGAGTGAGACTATTTGTTCGATTCTTCTCAATATCATTTTTAGAAGGGGTTTAAAATTTTAATCCTGTTCCCGTCCTAAATCACCGAATCGAACTAATCGTAAAGCGATCAAACGATGAAATATTTTCAAAAAGAACAAAAACAAAATGTCATAAACCAGAGTCATGCGGAACGACGTAGAAAATTAAGGTCAAACAATTTTTACATAGTGGATCTCCTTAGAAGGTCAACCACACAACGTGTCAAATGCAAAAAGACTCCAATTCTAGAAGCTCCATTTGTACAGAACCCATTGTTTTTCGCCTTGTATTCCTTCTTGCCATTCCCATGTTCTTCTCTTTCTTCTAGCAAGACTTGCATAAACACCTCAACCTGCAAACTAAAGCACGTACACAATAATTGCACATATATAATACATATAAAACACACATATATATATATATATATATAGGATTACAAAGGCACAGATTCATAAGGGTATATATATAAGAAATAGACAGAGGAATTTAGAAAGAAAAAGGATCGAAATGGTTGGGGCAGAGGAAACGAAAGAGCGTTCACGGCTACATACCACAGAAGTACTTCACCAACGTAGGAAAATGCCTCACTGTCCCATGAAAATGGCCATTGGTGGCTTTGCAGCAATATCTGTGCTAGGTTACTTGGTCTTGTACTCCAATAAGAAGCCAGAAGCTTCAGCCATGGATGTTGCAAAGGTTGCCACTGGGGTGTCTCATCCAGATAACACTCATCCCCGCAATTAGATCATCACCATATATGCATGAACCATATATACTTCATTAGCTTCAACATATATATACTTATTGTTGTAATTATGGCTTTGTGCAGCTTATTTTCATCTTTATTATATATTTCATTTCATCTGTGTTTAATTAAGTTCCTTCTATACATCATTAATTGTATTACATAGCAATAGACTTCAATAAACACTTTACTTCATATATCCCTTGTTCTTGTTCTTATTTGCATGAGTACATCAGATTCAGACCGTACGTGTTGCATGGTCAATATTTGAATTTCAGAGGATCCATCCAATTTATCTTTAACTAGTGTCACAAACTTATCCACTTTAATTGTCCTGATCTGATTCATTGAAGAAGTATAGTTCCATGTGAGCATATAAATATCATAATTTCCACATTAAATTCGTTATTTTTTTCAACTTAAATAAATTTATAGTGCTTGGCTGACGATCCAAAAGTTATCATTTTTTTTCTCCAAACCAATAGACACCCAGAAAACAGAGCCAGAAAAGAAGGAAAGAGCCATCAAATTTTTCTGGGTTCAGAACCAAAAAAATCCAGTACCAATTACCTAAAAATAAAAATAAAAATAATTTTTCACATAATAGAAAGAAGAAGCAGAGGCTGCAACACACAGAATCGTTTTCCCTTTTTTATTTTTGTATTTTTCTCTCTCATGATTTCTCCTTCAACAAAGTTAATGAATATTGAAGAATAATCAAGAAAGATAAGTGGTTAGGAATAATTATTTAAATTTTAAATTAGAAATAAGTACTATTTAATTTTATTGAGAGAAGGATATACTTACAATATCATTTGCTTTACTATTACTTATAATTATTTTTATTATCGTTAAAAAAATAAAATCAACTAGTGAGAGTTGTTAATTTAATTTCGATCTAACAATAATAAAAATTAATTAAAAAGTTTGTAAGACAGCCTAACAATCAATGACGACTATGGTTGACTAAAGATAAAAGATAAGTAATTTGTAGTTATAAAGTGATTATTATTAACTAATCAGATAAGAGTAGTGTAAATAATAAGAATTATATTATTTATTTTCCAAAAAAAAGAATTATATATTTATGGCTAAATGATTACTGTTGACCAATAAAATAATGAGTGATAACCTTCTAACTAAGTGGTATTAGTAATTATGATTTTACGTATCAATAATTCCTTAATATCTTTTATTCCTAACATTTTTTTTTGTGACGGTAAAAAAAAAAAAACATACTTTTTTTTTTGGAAAGAGATATTATTTCACCAATAACGTAATGATACATTTTCTGCAAAAGTGCAAAGTAATGACATAAATTTTTCCATTTTGCCATTTTTCAATTTGATCGGATCCATTCGTTCGAAACATTTCCGTTCAGTCACCATTATGATAAATCAAATATGAGTGATAGCCATTAATGGTAGATGTCACATTGTGAACCACTATTTAGTTACGGTACGTAATGATGGATCAAATATAAGCAATAATCATTGATAACAAATATTAGACTCTTAACTAATTAACGAATATGGTTGACCAGCATTATAGTAGTGTTCTACTACGTAATATGGTTGACCACTCAAAGATGAGTAATAATCATTTACCTACTAGTGTTCTACTGTTCTTGACCAATCAGAAAAAAGTGATAGCCATTAACAATATATGGATAATTTTGACCTTTAGGTCTAATTAAATGGTAATTCTTTTTTTATTTTTTTAGAGTTAACCTAACTCTAATTATCTCTTTGAGATGAATTAACTTCTCTCAGTGTATTTTCACAAGCTTCAATTTTTTTAGTTAGCTATGAGACTAATCCGGAGCCCTTCTCAATTGTGGCATATAGGGATCGAATCGAGACTCTTTTCTTTCTACTTACTTAACTCCCTTGCTACCAATTCAGCTAACACTATTTAAAGTACACCCCCTCCCAAATGGTAATTCTTTCTTTCTAAGGGTTTAATGTTTTTGCTTTTATTATAGAAATTTTTTTCTACCGCACTCACATAAAAATAAGTGAATCCTACTAATATTTTCTCCACTTAATTTTATATGAGTGTGACAGAATTTTTTTTTAATAAAAGCAAAAATATTTTTTCCCACTTTCTAATTAAATTATAATACTTTCTTCTTAATAATTTTAATTTTATTTTATAATTAGGGATAGAATATTGTTACTACAAATAATTTTACTACCATATCTTAACTGTTGATTTCCGTCAATCAACGGTTTTATTTATTGCGAATTAATAATTAATTAATGAGTTTGATTTGTGAAAATAATAACCGTTGATTGACGGAAATCAACAGAAAAAAATTAAAATATTATTTTTTCGTAAATAATTACCAATAAGTTGATGTTTTGAATTTAATTACGAATATAATGCACTCATTCACGCCCAAGTTAGGTGTGAGTCGCGTGACTCACAACTTCACAAAACACAAGGCATTCACGCCTAATTTAGGCGTGACTCGTCTGATATTGACACGTGGCACAAAAAGTTAACAGTTTAACCGCAAAACTTGAGAAGGCCATAACTTTTGACTCGGGTATCCGAATCAGGTAATTTTTTTATTCCACATAACTTTTCGAGATCTACGCAATGACATCTCATTTGACATATTTTATCTCTAACAAACACAGTTCAAATTTGCAATAATGATACTATATGAGCGTTTAAACCCAGAAGCCTGAGTTCTTTCCGAATCAACACCAAAACCAAGTGTTTTGAAAAAAAAAAATAGTGTACAATGTTATTGAATCGCAATACGTATCATGTATCGTTTGACTGATTTTTTGTATCGTGAATCATATTGTATCGTAAGTTACATCCTTATGTTTTATGATTTTTTTTCTTTAAAGCCATTTAAATGATGTATGCCTAAGAGAAAGAAAAAATAAATAAATTTAAAATAAAAATAATAAAGGGACTAATGGGTATAAGAAAAGAGAACTAAACCTGAAATCGAATCCTGAACTCTGAAGTTTGGAAACAACTCTTGTACGAAACAATGGTTGGGTCTTTATGGCTGAAATAGTTGGAAGCTTATAGCCTTTGAATGGTTTTTAAAAATAAAATCCTTTTTACTTAGAGATTTAGAATATTTATTTAATTATTTTCTTTATTAATACAGATTTTTAAATTAATTTTTTAGTTTAAATCACAAATGAAATCTTTATTTTATTTTCCTTATTAATAATAATTTTTTAGTTTTTTTATATTAAATCACAAACCCAGTACTCGGAGGCTTTTGGGTTTAAATGCTCTTATAATAGCATTATTGCAAATTTGAACTGTGTTTGTGAGAGATAAAATACATTAAATAAGGTGTCATTGCATAGATCTCGAAAAATTTTGTGGAATCAATTTTTTTTTTACCTGATTTAGATACCCAAGTCAAAAGTTATGACTTTTCAAAGCTTTACAGTTCATAAGTTGATTTTTTTGCGTCACGTGTCAACACCAGACGAATCAAGTCTAAATTATATGTGAATACATTGTGAGTCACGCCTAACTTAGGCGTAAATGATCACGCCTAATTTGAGCTAGAATGAGTGCAATACAAGAGAAGCTAATTCCTGTGCGGATTGGTTAGCCAAGTCTGCTCTTCACAAAGATACTGGATTCTGGAGTCATAGAGTTATGCCGTTTCACCTTGCTCAGTTATTTGATCACGATCTTCAGGGAATCTCCTCTTGTAGGGATATAGACCCTGGATAGTTATTTTTTGTTTCTGGTTGTTAGTTTGTTTTTGTTTGGGGCTTCGCCCCTTAATGTTATCAAAAAAAAAAAGAATGAGTGCAATAGGTTCGTAAATAATTTTGAAACAACTATATATTTGTAATTATTTATTAAAATAATAATATTTTAATTTTGTTTTGGAAATCAATGGTTAAAATATGGTAGTAACGTTTTTGGTAATAACAATATCCTATCTCTTATAATTAAATCGTACTCTTTAATTTCTCAAATTTTTATGATTCGTATACTTTCACATTTACACTCGTTTATTTAAGAGAATTTTTTCAATTAAAAAACATGTCTAAAATGTTTATGTTAATTAGATTTTTGTTTCTATTTCTATAAAAAGAACGAGATATTTATATTTCGTCTTTGTGATTACAGATTACGTTTTTGTCGGTTTTCTTTCTTGTGAAAGTCTTGGCACTTTCTCCATAGTTTTCTTTTCTTGTCCAGTGAGTGTTGCACAGCACAACCATGACGACGACGACGACTACTTAATTTCCCAGAGATTAAGATTCCACTTCAAATGCCTTATTCTGCGTCTCTCCATCTTCTTTTTCCGTTCAATCGCACTCACCGTTACATCGCCTATTTCTCGATGAGGTCCGTTCCCTCTTTTTTTTTTTTTCCAATTTATTTGCTTCAATCTCAATGGAATCAGCGAATAGAGTTTATAATATATTTGCTTCGGATTGTTGCGTGTTGCTGAAATCGTAATTCGTAAGAGATTTGAGGTTTTAATTTTGAACTCAAACTTCAGCGACAGTTAACCCTACCGCTAAAGTTTGGTTATGGTTAGGGGGACACATTTCAGAAGAGTAAATTTAAATGTTTGGTTAATAAGTAAAACAAAGGAGAAAAGTAGTGAACTTTTTTGGGATAAATGTTACTCCAACTCTCACTCATGAACTTTGACAATTCCTAACAACAACTCCTCACCGGCGGCGATATTTCCGGTCGCCGGCAACTGTCAACCGTCGCTCTTTATTCTCCTGCGAGGTTTTCTTTCGATTTTTGAGATTTTGTCGTGGTGCTCTTGTACTTGAAGGATGATATTGCAGAAAGAGATATTATCGAAGTAGAGAGAGAGATAGAGCGAGGGAGGGATGTGTGAAGGCTAGGGTATCGGAGAAATTTTCTTTTATTAGAAAAATACAATTAGTGAGAAAATGGTGGGAAAAGTGATTTTTATGAGAAAGTTAAAAAAATATTATTTGTTAGACTGAAATATTACATGAAAAATTTTGGTGTAAAATTGCTACAAATTTGAATTTGACTGGGAAATCAAAATAATACCATCAAGGTGGTATTCTCAAGTGGGTATTTTTCTTTATTTTTACACTATAAAATTTTTTCCATCAAATTTTGTTTTTATAGGCAAATTTTCCTTATTCTATATTAAATATGGTCATTTGTGAATCACATCTATCACTTTTTTTAGCATTCTCAAAAAAATTCACCTATCAAACACCCACTAATCGTTATTGTTGAACGACAACAGTTCTAATTTTTTTTTCTTGTTTTTTACAAAAAAAAATTCATGTAGCAAACATTTTTAATTTTTAAGGGATAAGATATTTTACATCATTAGCATTTACTTCATAAAATTTTATCCCTTGAATTTTATCTCCTTTAAATTTTAATTGTGTACCAAACACATGACAGATTTTAAATATTAAAGTCTACGGTGAAACCTGTCACTAACACCAAAATCTATCATATTGTGTCATTGATGAATGTCAGCCAAAAGAAAAGCGAATGTGTCTCCGTAGCAATAACTTGATCTTTGACCTTTTACTTTTGGATTTTGTCCTTTCTTAATCTAATGACTGGATTCTTGAATGGATCTTCTTTTTACATGGGGAAGAGAGGAACCGCCTATGATTTGACGTCTTGGGAACCATAATCATGACCTTACGGTTTCTTTTATATTGTCTGGTTTGTCTCTCATTATGCCTAGTTGGATCAATATTAGGTATACATCCTTTTAGCCCATACTCTATTAAGAATCTAATTGACCTTTTCTAAAATGATCACTTAATTGGCTCAATGTGTTAAATAGGATTATATAATTGATAATTAAATATACAGTCAATAATAATGCTAGGAAATAAATTTTCCCAATAATACACCCTACCAATCACCAAATCATTTTGTTTTCATTTAGTTATTTTTTTGTGACTTTTTATATCATAAGCATTTAACCAAGTGTTACGCTACTAGCTGATCACCGATGAACTCTATCTTTACTTAAATCATAAGGATGAACTAGCTTTACCTAAATCACTGGAAGTAGTTGTTTCAGAGTATTAATGTGACTTTCATGAGTTTATGAACCACGAAATAAGGGTTGGGCGAAGAGAGGGCTACTGGTGATAATTATTTCTTTCCTCGTAAGATGGAATATCTGGAAAATGGTATTGCCAAAGAGTAGGGTCATTTATTTCAATAACCATGCTATCCACCTAAGAGTATAGGCATTTGATTATACTATGCTGAGATATTCTATGGGAACTAGCAGTTTGGTTTAGAAAATGAAAAGTTTCACAAATACCATGCCAGAAGGATGATGATATACCAAGCAAGTGGCAACTTTAGGTTCATTCTGCTGGTGCAATCAATCTATTTTATAAAGTAGATCTGCGTTTGGGTTTTAACACCTGAAGAGAGTAAACATGAGCATAAGTTTCTTATTCTGTCTGATGACATTCTCAAAGCTATATATTTTCTAAATTTGAATTGGAAATTGCTCCAGCCTCTAGCACGAGGCTTCTAGTGAACATTTGGAATCTGAGCATGAATACAGAAATATTATTAATATTGATCATTGTTTTGAATCTTGTTTGGTTTATCTCCAGGTTGTGCATATGCGATCAACTGCTGAAAGATGTTTGACTGTGGTTACAAGTCACAATACATGGGTGGCCAGCCGGAGAACTTTTTGAGGTATCCAATATATTTTCATTGCAAGGTTACGGTTGTAGAGATATGAAGGAGAAGAGAGTAATGCAAATAATATTTATTCATGTTCTTAGCTCACATTTTCTAAGACAATGAATTCAAGTTATTGAAATTTCTGAATCCCCCCCTCAACTTTAGAATAATTTGTTATTTTTATTTTTTGGTATATAATTTAGAATAAATTTTAAGTTATTTCAAAGTTAACTTAGGATATAAACTTTCAGCGTTGGTATATTTAATTTGCTTTTCTGTCATGAAATATGGATGGATATATAACCAATTAACCATTTGCTGTCACACATTTGTGAGTTTTAGCAGGTAGAAAATTTGCTATTTTGGCATTTTCCAAGATGGCTGACCAGTTAAACGTAGAGAAACTAGTTTTTGACTTGCAATATTGTAAGCTTTTAATTTTAAGATGCTTTACATAAATCTTATGGATGTAGCTTTCTTAAACTGAATAAATTTTTTAGTATTCAACTCATAGTGACCTTAAGTCTTAGTATGCACACATGATATTTGAGAAAGCATTCTCTTAATTTCTTGATTTCTTCTCTCTGCCTTTTTCTGGTCTAATGGATCTTCAGGTTCCTGTTTATGAACAATTACTTTGCTTCAGTTTTAGAGGAAAGTGATCTGTTTCTGTGCATTCTGTTTGTTTATTTCTAGGTTGGAGTCATTGGATTCTAGACTGTCTTCATCTTCTGATGCTGGAGTTAAAAAATCTGGATTTAATATTGACAAATTAAGCCATGATGGTCATGGAAGGAGCGTAACCTCTAGGTCTTTTAAAAGAGGAATGAGAAAAGGATCTGAAGGACTTAAGTCAATTGGTCGAACACTTGGATTGGGGGTATCTAGGGCAGTCTTCCCGGAAGATCTTAAAGGGTCAGAAAAGAAGATATTTGATCCTCAAGACAAATTTTTGCTCTTCTGGAATAAGCTTTTTGTTATCTCATGCATTTTGGCTGTGTCTGTGGATCCACTGTTTTTTTATCTCCCTGTCATCAATGATTCATTACACTGTCTTGGCATAGACCAAAAGTTGGCAGCCATAGTTACCACCATAAGGACAGTCATTGATGCTTTCTATCTTATGCACATGGCTCTCCAATTTCGTACTGCTTATATTGCTCCATCCTCTCGTGTCTTTGGGCGGGGTGAGCTTGTGATAGATTCAGCACAGATAGCCAAGCGATACTTGCGGCGGTATTTCATCATAGATTTCCTATCTGTGTTGCCGATACCACAGGTTGAAAAGACTGTTATCTTGAGTCAATATCTTTTTGTTAATTCTGAGAGACTTCACTAGAGAGAAGAGTACAGTAAAAGTGGAGGATAAGATATCCTACATAGCATAGCCACAGAGAAATAGGCAAACAGTACCATCAATACAATAAAGCTCTCAAATCCCGTTACTTATCTGTCTTCTTTGGTTTGAAACTGTTAAAGATGGAGATTCTTTTATAAATTTATTTTAAATTTTTTTATTATTGATTTTTTTTTTAAGCTTTTGAGGATTGCTACTTCTTTTTTCTTTTTTCTTAATAAGTTCTCCTATTTTTAAATTAATTCTGCATGTTTGTTAGATACACCGTGTTCTACAACAATCAAAGTATAAATGATACTTTTTGCTGTCGATATGCTGAACTCTTATTTTGGCAGATATAAGGAGTATTCAATTGTTAATGCTATCTTGACTTTTGATTATATATAGTTATTTCTGCTGAAATTTGCAACTACCTACTCTGTACATTAATTAATATATTCAAAACTTTTCTCAGTGGACGTCCATTAATAAAGTTACAACAGTTATTTGTATTAGTGTAATGCGTGTCCGTATTGCAATTGCAATTTGAAGGAGCATGTAAGAAAACTCAAAGCGTACTTTATTTTTTCTTTTTCTGTTCTTGTATTCAGATTGTGGTTTGGAGATTTCTTCTGAGGTCAAAAGGTTCAGATGTACTAGCTACAAAGCAGACCTTGCTGTTCATTATCTTGCTTCAGTATGTTCCTAGATTTCTTCGAATGGTACCATTGACTTCAGAGCTTAAGAGAACAGCCGGTGTCTTTGCTGAAACTGCATGGGCAGGTGCTGCATATTATTTGCTGTTATACATGCTTGCTAGTCATGTAAGTTTTTCTTTTTATTTTTTGTTTGTGATGTTTAATTCTGTTGGTCTTTGCTGCCTTGCTATTTTTGAACTAAAATACGACCTCACTAGTTATGCTATTATTCTTGCTATCTAGCTTTATGGTGCATCAACTTTGCCAATAATTTATTTTTGGTTTTCTTACTTCAATAATATTTGCAGATAGTTGGTGCTTTTTGGTACTTGTTAGCTATTGAACGTAATGACTCATGCTGGCAAAAGGCTTGCAGTGACGATGGGTGCAATAAAAACTTTCTGTATTGTGGCAACCAGCAAATGGAAGGTTATAGTGCTTGGCAGAATAGAAGTAAAGACATTCTTAATTCAAAGTGCTCTGCCAATGATGATCCTCCACCTTTTGATTATGGAATTTTCAAGCAAGCATTGTCATCTGGTATCGTTTCATCTAAGAAGTTTTTGTCCAAATACTGTTACTGTTTATGGTGGGGGCTCCAGAATTTGAGGTAATTATTTTGTTTCTTTTGGACATTTTTCATGCGTTTTATTGATTTCTGTCTGAACTGAATACTGGTTTTCCAAGCTTTTCCCCAGAAATATGTACATTTCTGGATTGATTATATTATTTCTGAATAGTTGTTTGTGAAGAGAATGTGTTGAAGACAAACAAATCAGATAGAAAAACTATTGGTTATTGTTGTATTAGTATTGCAGTGGGTACTGGGTAACTTGAACTCTATTGATGTCACATCTCTTGGATGTTCCTTATATTAGTGTTCTGTGCCTCTAATAAAACTTATAACACGATGAACAAGTGGATTTGAAAAAGAAAATTTGAATCTGTCTAAACCATTGGAGAAATGATATGTTATAGTAACTAGCAACAGTTGGGCATTATGGAACTTTATCCTCTTTGGTTGTAGTTATGGACCACCCTACCTTAAACGAGACTTTCTCATCCTGGATAAAGGAGGGACAGACAAATTGGATTTTAAGTGAATTGTTTTATTTTAACTGTATTTTATTTGATGTTAATCAGATCAGGGTTCCACATATCTCAAAATCTAATGATAAACCTTTTTCTTATTATCATGTGTTCAAGAGCATAGGACTTATCTTTTGGAGCATGATTAGTTACCCAGCTTGTTGCTTTGTTCTGTAAGACAAACCCTAACATTAATTTCTGAAGGTAGGTTACTAGTCCAATCATTGAAATGTTGAATACAATTAATGGTATTGGTTTTTGAAGAATATCTATTAGTTTCGATGTAGTTGACATCTAGAGTACTGCTTTCTTTCTTTGAATCTATAGATTCAATGATTTCAAAGTTAGAGTACATTCTAATATTTGAAGTAAAGAACAGTCAGACCATATCAACTGTAATGCTATTTCAGAACTCTTTATATAGGTGATAAGTTTGATGTTCTACATATTTGTGCATGTTTCAAGATTTGTTCTAAAAGTTGACCATTTTATTAGTCTATAAACTTGGCATGGTACTAAGTGTTGTTACTAAGTTCCTTAAAATCCGTAGCTCTACTTCATATCTATGATTATTTTCTTCTTTCCAGCACTGTCTCTATCTCTCCACCATGAGCTTTTCTCGCTGCCTCCATCTTATCAAGAATCCTTAAATTATTTTGTCCCACTGCTGTGTTGTATTTTCTACAGCTTCCTTTCCACCATCCACTGCTGTCAGATGATTATGCAGCCAAAAACCAAACAATTAACTCTCCTCCCTCAAATTGGGCCATTCCTAGTGGTTTTAGGCTGAACCGACCTCATCTCATCATCGGACGACTTTTCCTGTGGTTTCTTTCTTACCAATGACTCATATACTGATGAATTGGCTGGATTCATACCAATCTCCACTGTGAATCATAATGATGGTGGCAGAGCGTGGTTCAACAATCGCTGATGAGTTTAATAGCAGTTCATAAGAGGGAAATTTTAGTTTTGTGAACACAATAACACTCATCTGATTCCAATTTCTTTCAAATAGTGTGTATTTTTCAAAGAGTTTACTTTTAAACAGTAGGGATTTTGATAAGACTAACCCCTTATATGAGTAACAACAGCACAAATGTTCTAATAAGAAACAAGTAATTACACGATTAAGAGTCTAAACTCCCTGCAAGGAGGAACTCTCCTAGCCCCAGTCCCCTGACTGAAATAATTCCAAACAGATTCCCCCCCCCCCTCCCCCCACTTTCATCCAGATTCACATTAATAAATGAAAAATAATAACTTCTCGTAACTGTCATGCAGTTACTCATTTTTCCAACCCCAGTACCTAAAATATAACAGTGTACATTACATAGAGAATTAATAACTATATACATAACTGCATCCTATCCACTAATAACTGCCTAATTTGAATTAAATACTTTCTGCTCACCTAAACTCTGTCAGAGTCTGTGCCATTGGGATCAATGTTTCTATCAATTACTCTTTCCATTAGAATTTGCCTTGTCCTCAAGGCAGAAAGCTGGAAATTGTTGGCGAATGTCCTCATCCTAAATCTCCAATCTTATCCCTTGCCTCTTGCGATTCCATGGTGTTAGGCATATCCTCTTCTTCCCAAATTAGAAGGCGCAGTTGCTTTTCTGGACATTGATGAGTAGGGCTGAAAGGCTGTCCATACTTGAAACACAGCCCCCTGGCTCTTCGTTTCAACAATTCTTGATAAGAAAGATTGCGCACTCCTCGGTTAGGCTTGTTGTTCTGCTTATCATCCCCACTAGTTTGCTTCTCATTCCTTTCATGAGTTTGGGAATTATTTGGAAATATGCCCAGCTTGTCTCCATTTGCTTCACTATCTTTGCTTCCAGCAATTTGGTGACTTATCGCCACATTCTTACGAAAAGCAGCATTCTCTCTCCATGCTCCTATGTGTTTGGAGTCTCCCAACATTCCCAGCTTCTTCTCTGCAAGTTTGGCAGCAGAAATTGCTTTATATTTATCAGCAGGAGCTATAGATAATACCTCTGGTCTAATCTTCTCCTTTAGGCCTCCAAGAAACAGTTCCAAATACTGTTCATCTAGTATGGGAGGAACTTGTGCAGCCAACATTTCAAATTCCTCAACGTAATCATCCACTGATCCGGTTTGTGCCAATACCTTGAGTTGTGAAAAAGGATTGCCCAATTAATGTTCTCCATAACGATAAAAAAGAGCCCGCTTGAATTTCTCCCATCCCATTTGCAGGTCAGATTCCCTCATTACCTTAAATCAATACCAAGTCGTTCCCTCCATACATATTTGCACAAATTGGAGGCGAAGATCTAGTGGAGTGCCATGCACAGAGAAGTACGCCTCAGCCCATGCTACCCAACCAACTGGATCTGTCCCATTGAACAACGACAACTCAACCTTTTTGGCTGACAAACAAAGATCATCATTCTTGGATGTTCCTGAACCGTCACCAGTCCCTTAATGTTCCCCTGATCTTGAAAAAGAAGGCTCATCATGATGATGTAGTTGTTTTAGAACCCATCTCGCATTTCTGAACACATTGTCTGGAACAACTTAGTGAGTTCTCCTATGGTAGTGATAAGTGTTGACAGTTGGGTTGAGTGCTCATCCAAACGCTTTGATTGACCGCCAAGTAGGGGTGTTCAAAAAAACCAAATGATCAATCAATCCATAAACTGAACCAAACCCGTTCCAAAAATCGGTTTTTATAAAACGGTTTAAAAAACCAATCCAGTTTTTTAATTTTGGTTTAGGTTCGGTTATCCATTTTCACAACAGTTTGGATATCCAAAATAACCAAAACATATCCATTTTTTTAATCATTTTTTATTTTTACTTTTTAACCCTATCTTCAATATTTTGATAAATTTAACATAAATCACTGTCATTCAAGTTTGCTTTAAAGTTACAACGCTAGCTAGTCATAATATTTACTTATTGACTTCAAAGTTATAACACAACTTTGCCTACTGAATTAAGGAAGAAAATAGGACACAATTTAACATAGTTTAGACTAATAACAATTAACAAGCCAGTCCAATGGCTTTATCATGTCTACTAGGACTAGAAGTTTTTCATAGATGCTCTTCAATAGTGGTTGTATATCTTCTTCCTCTACAGGTCATTATACTTTTGGAAAATAGCCAAATTCTTTTTGTGGTTAATAGGAGAAAAAAACATTTTCCCAATACCCCAAATTTTATACAAACAGGTTAAAAAAGAGATATTACCAAAGAGGAAAACAAAAACCAAAATGATAGATTTCTAAGATTGAGTCTATCCAGATGCGCATGTTCCAAGCCACAATCCAAAATCTCCTCTCCTTGAAAATTCTTGAGGTCTTCAGTAAGATCCCAAAAAGCATCTCCTAAGCAAGTTCTAGGATTTATTGACCTTTTCATGTTTAATCAAAATAGCCTAGATATATTTAGCAATAAATAAATAAATAATAAAGGTATTTTTTATTTTATTTCAAAAAAAATGTAGCACAACACATCAAAAACCGATTTTGAAGTTGTTATAAAAAAATTGGTTTTGAACTTGATAACCGGTTTATGGTTCATAACCGGTTTTGATTTAAAACCGGTTTTGATTGATTTTAAATCAAAATCGGTTTTTAACTATAAACCGGTTTTGGAACCGGTTTCAAACCGGTTTGGATAAATAAAAACCGGTTTTAAAAAAGAAAACCGGTTCGGTTTGAAAACCAAACTATTTAAAACTAGTTTGGTTCGGTTTTTGTTAAAACCGATTATGAATCGCTCCATGCACACCCCTACTGCCAAGGTTCTTATCATGGTTAGTCTCTTGTGTGTTATGATTGACACTTCTACGGCAGCCAACCTTTGATCCAATGCATCCATCCTTTAATTTGCCATTCTCGTGAGCATACAACAACAATTCCACTGTTTTCTTCCTCTTCAACTCTCAATGAAAGCACCAATTGATAAGACTAACCCCTTATATGAGTAACAACAGCACATATATTCTAATAAGAAACAAGTAATTACACGATTAAGAGTCTAAACTCCCAGTAAGGAGGAACTCTCCTAGCCCTAGTACCTTGACTGAAATAATTCCAAACAGATCCCCCCCCACATCCAGATTCACACTAATAAATGAAAAATAATAACTTCCCGTGACTGCTATGCAGTTACTCATTTTCCCACCCCCACTACCCAAAATATAACAGTGTATATTACATAGAGAATTAATAACTACATACATAACTGCATCGTATCTACTAATAACTGCTTAATTTGAATTAAACACTTTCTGCTCACATAAACTCTATGATAGAGTCTGTGCCATTGGGATCAATGTTTCTATCCGATTTCAGATAAAGTATGTGCCTTATATTTTCAGATTTAGTCTAGAGGAAACCACTTGTTCCCATGTCTTCTTCTTACCCCTTCTCTCTCATTTCGTAGATTATTGATATGCCAATATTCTTTTTTCATTGACTTCACTGCAGTACACTTGGCCAGGGGCTTCAAACTAGCACCTATCCTGGGGAGGTTATCTTTTCAATATCACTAGCTATATTTGGCCTCATCCTCTTTGCGCTTCTAATTGGAAACATGCAGGTATGCTTCAAATCCTTTAGCTTAACATATCGTGAAATTAAGATTGCTGGAAGTCTTGTTATTCAGTTTATTAGGAACATGCTGAAGTATCCATAGACTTGTGTTTGTCTGGGTCAAATGTGCAGGATACTTGAATAGTTGAATTACCCAACATTAATTTTCATGCTTATCAACGATATATGAGTACTTAATGGAATTGAATGTTGCAAACGTATGAATGTAATGTGAGTGGGTTTAAATGATATTAAATAGTGTTTTTATATTGGAGTAACTAGCCTCCAAATAGTCATCTAGTTACTATCTATTTGTTAGGGCAGCTGTAGGTGGCATGTGATCTGATATATGCTACATAGAGGAAAGATTTACTTCTACCGCTTGTCTTTTTTCTTTGGCTAAAGCATGTATTGTTGAAGATGAATGCTATTATTGCTAAATTTTCTTAGTGTCTTTTCAGAACTGATGGACTACATATTATTCATGTTGAAAACTTATAAAACATGGAAACACTATTTTGGTGCTGTGTGCTGTGTCAGACACGACCCACTGACAACATGTGTTCATACATGTCTAATTTTTTTTTTTTAAAAAAATGGGCTTTGACATGGCATGGTCATGCTCATTTAAAATACACATGCACTTGAGCACAGATAATGGGGAGTGAGTACTGGATGTTTTTAAATTTGCTCTAAATGTTGTTTCTCCTATCACAGAATGGCCTTGTAAATGTTCACTAAAGTATGAAGAAGCCCACTGTCTGTTATTGATACTGAGGTTTCTGTATTTTCCTGTGATTCCAGACATATCTTCAGTCTCTTACCATTAGGCTCGAGGAAATGAGAGTCAAAAGGCGTGATTCAGAGCAGTGGATGCGTCATCGCTTGCTCCCACAAGAGCTTAGAGAGCGTGTGAGACGGTATGATCAATATAAGTGGTTGGCAACGCGGGGCGTAGATGAAGATAGTCTAGTTCAGAGTCTACCAAAGGATCTTCGAAGAGATATTAAGCGTCATCTCTGTTTGGCTTTAGTGAGGAGGGTATGCTGTCTAACACTTGGACTAAAAAAGGATCCAACTTTTCTCTGACAATGAAAGGACCAAAAATTTGTACTTGAACGATTGTGTGGTTATTTAGTTCCATATATGTGGTTATGGTATTTACAACTAAATAATCGCATCAAGTTATGTTTATTTGATCCTGCAGGAGTATAATTACTTGCACGAGTATGTTTAAGATTTTCTTTTCAAACTCTTTTAGACTTTAATCATACAATGCTTCTATATGAGATTTTTGGACCCAATCTCTCTCTTAGATTAACTTACCAAATTAATGTACATCCGAATTTGTTAATTTATTAATTGCTTTTCATGGACTTGTAGGTTCCACTATTTGAGAGTATGGATGAGAGATTGCTTGATGCCATATGTGAGCGACTGAAACCATGTTTATTTACAGAGAGTACTTACATTGTCCGGGAAGGAGATCCAGTTGACGAGATGCTTTTCATCATACGTGGCCGCCTTGAAAGTGTTACCACAGATGGTGGGAGGAGTGGATTTTTCAACCGCGGTTTTCTAAAAGAGGCTGACTTTTGTGGGGAGGAGCTTTTAACATGGGCTCTGGATCCCAAATCTGGTTCTAATCTCCCATCTTCTACTCGAACAGTTAAGGCATTAACAGAGGTTGAGACCTTTGCCTTAACGGCTGATGAGTTAAAATTTGTTGCCAGTCAGTTTAGGCGGCTTCACAGTAGACAGGTTCAACACACTTTCCGTTTTTACTCCCAACAATGGAGGACTTGGGCTGCTTGTTTTATTCAAGCAGCATGGCGTCGGTATTCTAAAAAGAAAATTATGAAGCTTCGTCAAAAGGAAGAAGACGCTGCTGAGTCCGAAGGAACTCATGATAATGCTGGTGGCAGTTCACATAGCCTTGGTGCCGCCTTGTTGGCCTCAAAGTTTGCTGCGCACACTCTTCGTGGTGTACATCGCAATCGAATTGCCAAGACTGCCAGGGAGTTAGTAAAACTACAGAAACCCCCCGAGCCTGACTTTACTTCAGATGATGCAGACTAGATTTTCACGTGTAACTAATCTCTTGAAATGTTTATTTTCATTAACTATTATGATTGGAACTTGTGAAGAAAGGTCAATTATACAATTATTCTGGTTGCTTTTGCGAGGATTTCAAGAGCTCTATGACTCTGCGAATGTTTCCTTGTAAATTATAGATTGTACATTAAGCCAACTGGCTGTCATATTAGGCCTACCACTGAGCATGTAAAATTGATGTAATGTTGTCAATTTTATTAATTGGTTGGCTGAATCAAGGTCGGTCTTATTTGTCATCCATGTGTAATTTAAGTGAGATTTAATATGCTTGTGTTTTTTCCACTGGAATCCTTTTTAGCATAGTTCAATATATCACCCAAGGTTCACCCGTGTTTTTTCACTTCCCTATCAGTTGACAACCTGCGTCCAAGATGACCGTGCTCATAAGCCAATTTCAAATTATTTTAAGGCTCACATTTTGTAGTATGAAGCTGCAATTTTCTTGTTCCCTTGCTTTCTTCTTCTGGCTCCTCCCCTCCATTTTTTGGCATTAATTCTCCAGGTGGATGCTATCCAGCTAAATTACTTCAGCTGCCTGTTGGTACCCAGGTATCCCCACTTCAAAGTTAGCTCAAGACTAAGTGAAGAAACTTACCAGAACCAGGGGATAATACTTGTGCAGTTGTGCTGACTATTATTCAACCAGAAGCACTGGCAATATCTGTTTTGGCCCAAGTATTTGCATGGATATTTTAGTTGCAGCACAAGTTAAATCAGGAAGCTACTGCATTCCCAGTCTTATTTCTATCTTCGTTCCATTTTGGTTCTTTAACATGCACTTTGCATTTGTAAGGGAAACCATGCTCCGTTTCTATGAAATGCAAGTGTATATCAGAAAAATTCAAGTAAAAATGCTGACGTATATACAGAAATATTTATAACAAATTTCTTATTGACAAAACTGATTTGATGTCTTCATACAGGATCGAGACCAAGGTGTACATTTACTACTTGCAAGCATTCCTTTCCTTTTTTTTTCAAAGATAGGCATTGAGGACACTGTCCTCACATATGTGCCATACAAAACAATGAGAATATTCAAGGAGACTATGAAAAGGGGAAGGAGGATACTAAAATGCTAAGAATACAAATATGTATACTCGGAAAATACATTTGATAATTTGAACAAAAATTAAGAATTGCAAAACAACCTATACTGAGGAGACTAAAAAATCTGTGCTTAAAACTTAGAACTGGAACCATGGGACTAAGAATTGGCAAAGATCAGTCAATTTTGACTGAGGAATAGATCAGCCTTGTGAACCAGAAGCACGCATAGAAACCAATTGTACCAATCAACACGAAGAAAGCATATGAAAGCAGCAGCATATACCCAAAATACAAGACTCCAGAGACTGGCTTTGTAATCTGAAGTTTTGTGAAGAAGTAAAAAGCAGCATATAGGAAGAGGTAGAGTGCAGAGGAACCTGAAGTCAGATATGACCTTGATAGGACCCAATTACACAAGGCCCAATATGGCAAAGTTTATATCAGGGACCGTAATAGGAGTAAATGGCCCAAGAAGAATATGTTGATGCTGTTGCTGTTTTGTCTCATTTTATGGAGCATGCTGAGTCAGCTAATTTGTTACAAAAAGTTTGTTACTCATGCAGTGCTTGAGACGGATAAAGGGGAGTGTTGAGCGTGTGTAAAGGGTACCATGGTGGTCATTGAAATTGCTTAGGCAATGGAGATAACTCAGGGCATCTCGAAGGACCTTGAGACCTCTTAACTTTCTGTTCTTTTATTTCTTTATTCCTTCTGCATATCTGAGCTATAGCAGCACTATAGTTTGTAACCCAAATTCAGTTTTCTTGCTGGTTATTGTTGAAATTGCTGCTTCGAGTAATATAGAAGTATTGTTTGAGAAATTATTGCTGTGAGATTGTTTTAATCCTATCAATTGGTATCAAAGCTCCATCTGGGAGCTGGGTTATGGTTCGTACGAGAACCATGGAAGGAATGGAAGAACGCTTACGTTGGACGAAGCTGGGACAGGAGGAACTGATCAAACGTATGGAAGCTAGCGATACAAATCAAGCGGAGATCATCAGGAAATTGAGTGGTTTTGGGGGTACAAGACAGTGTCATCACTCAAGACTTGTTCCTGTTCGATTTAGGAGGTGCAGACGTCGTTCTGGGGTTAGATGGGCTCGAAGGATTGGGGGAATTCAAAGCCAACTTCAGAGAAATGACCATTAAGTATACCTCCGGTGACCAAGAGACGACCATAAGGGGTGACCCTTCTCTCTCCCGAACCATTGCTTCCCTAAAATCCATGGCTAAGGCTTTGGAGCAACAAGGGCAGGTTATTACGTTAAGTGGGAGAATCCTAGTCGTTCTCACGCATTTCAGGCCGAGTGGAGGGAGATGGATGATCTGCTTCTGGAGTTTGGGGACATTTTTGCAGAGGCTAAGGGGTTCCCACCTAAAAGGAGCCAAGACCATGCCATTATTTTGAAACCAGATGCTTAGGTGCCTAACAATAGGTCCTACAGGTATCCTTTTTTCCAGAAATCTGAAATTGAAAAATTGGTAGCTGAATTGCTTAGTGATGGTATGATTAGGCCTAGTGTCAGTCCATACTCCAGTCCTGTAATTTTGGTAAAAAAAAAGATGGGAGCTGGCGAGTTTGTGTGGACTACAAGGCCTTGAATAAGGTCACAGTTCCTGATAAATTCCCTCTACCCGTGGTTGATGAACTATTGGATGAAGTTGGTGGATCCCGGGTGTTCAGCAAGTTGGATCTCAAATCTGGTTTCAACCAGATCAGAATGGTACAGGAAGATATACCCAAAACGGCTTTCAGGACTCACGAGGGGCACTACGAGTATTTAGTCATGCCTTTTGGCCTTACAAACGCCCCCTCAACATTCCAAGCACTCATGAATGATGTGCTGAAGTCGTACCTGAGGAAATTCTCCCTGGTTTTTTTTGATGACATATTAATTTACAGCAAAGGGGATGATGAGCATGTAGACCATTTAAGGAAGGTATTTGAGGTATTGCGTGCTCACAAATTATTTGCCAACTGAAAGAAGTGTGTGTTTGGGCAAAGACAGGTGGAGTATCTAGGCCACATCATCACTGAAGAGGGAGTACAGGCTGACCCTCAAAAGATACAGGCTATGGAGGAGTGGCCCATTCCTAAAAATGTGAAAGGTTTAAGGGGATTCCTTGGGTTAACCGGTTATTACCGGAAGTTTGTCAAAGATTATGGTAAAATAGCACGTCCTCTCACGGTTTTGTTGAAAAAAGACTCTTTCAAATGGAATGATATTGCGCAGGCTGCCTTTGTGCAATTAAAGCATTTGATGACTGCTGTCCCCGTGCTTGCTCTTCCAGATTTCTCCAAGACATTCGTGGTAGTTACTGATGCTTCTGGCAAGGGTATTGGGGCGGTGTTAATGCAGGAGGGCAGGCCATTGGCATATATCAGCAGGGGATTCTCTCAGCAGGCTATGGGGAAGTCTGTCTATGAAAAAGAGCTCATGGCTGTTGTGTTGGCTGTCCAAAAGTGGAGACCGTACTTGTTAGGCAGACACTTCGTTGTTAAATCTGATCAGAAGAGTCTTAAGTACCTACTTGAGCAGCGGGTACTTGGTGAGGGGCAGCAAAGATGGGTCTCTAAGTTAATGGGCTATGATTTTGAAATTCAATATCAACCGGGTAAGGCAAATTTGGTTGCTGATGCACTATCACGTAGTGAGGTTTTTTGTCTCCTATCCTCGGCTCATTTACCACAACTAGGGGACATTGATCAAGAGGTACAGGCTGACCCGAGGCTTAGGGGCATTATCCAAGATCTATTGGGGGATCCAGCATCTCATACAGGGTTCCACATCCAAGGGGGACGTCTTTTCTATAAAAACAGGTTGGTATTAGCCCATTCTTCCCGATTTATTCCCTCAATTATCTCTGAATTTCATGACTCTTGCATTGGAGGCCATTCTGGCTTTTCTAGGAATACAGGCGTATGGTAGGGGTGGTTTTTTGGGAGGGTATGAGGAAAACAGTCCAGCGTTATGTGATGGATTGTGCTACATGCCAACAGAGCAAGATCCAGAACCTTTCCCCTGCTGGTTTATTACAACCCTTACCTATTCCATCTCAAGTATGGACTGATATATCCATTGATTTCATTAGAGGGTTACCCAAGGCTCATAGATTGGACACTATACTTGTGGTGGTTGACCGTCTTACCAAATTTGCTCATTTTTTGCCGTTGGCTCCCCCCTACACAACCAAGGAGGTTGCTGGCCTATTTGTTAAGGAGATAGTGAGACTACATGGGTTCCCTCTGACCATTGTATCTGATAGAGACCGCTTATTCCAGAGCCATTTTTGGTCCGAGTTGTTTAAGTGTTCAGGTACCAAGCTGAACTTTACTACTGCTTACCATCCCCAATCTAATGGGCAAACAGAGGTGGTAAATAGGAGCCTCGAAACGTATTTACGTTGTTTTTGTAGTCCTAGGCCACGTACCTGGCCTAATTGGCTTCATTGGGCTGAGTATTGGTACAACACTACATACAAAATCTCCACGGGGATGACCCCATTCAAGGCTTTGTATGGTGTGGATCCTCTTAGCCTCCTGCGAGTTGGGAATAGTTTTCCCACAGTGGATGCGGTCGCTCAATTGTTAGTTGATAGGGAATCCATTCTAGATGAATTAAAAGCTAATTTGCTCAAGGCCCAAGCGGTTATGCAAACTCAGGCCAATAAAAAGAGGCGTGAGGTTCATTTTGAGGAAGGTGACTTAGTTTATCTACGTTTACAACCATACAGGTTGAAATCTTTGGCTACTAAGTTGAATGAGAAGCTCAGCCCCCGCTATTATGGGCCGTATGAAGTAGTAGCTAAAGTGGGTACTTCGGCCTATAGGTTGGCCCTTCCTCCTTCTAGCAAGGTTCACCTGGTTTTCCATGTGTCATTACTTAAGAAGGTTGCTCAACCGGTGGACAATGCCCAGCCTTTGCCTCCTTGTCTCTTCGAAGGGTGGGAATTAGTAGTTGAACCAGATTCAGTGTTACAATGGCGTCGGGACCATCAGGGACGAGTCCAGGTGTTAATTCAGTGGCTTAATCTCCCTTCTTTTGAGAATTCCTGGGAGGATTTTTCTGATATACAAGCTCAATTTCCAGATTTTCACCTTGAGGACAAGGTGATTTTGTTGGGGGGAAGTATTGATAGGACCCAATTACACAAGGCCCAATATGGCAAAGTTTATATCAGGGACCGTAATAGGAGTAAATGGCCCAAGAAGAATATGGTTGATGCTGATGCTGTTTTGTCTCATTCTATGGAGCATGCTGAGTCAGCTAATTTGTTACAAAAAGTTTGTTTCTCATGCAGTGCTTGAGATGGATAAAGGGGAGTGCTGAGCGTGTGTAAAGGGTACCATGGTGGTCATTGAAATTGCTTAGGCAATGGAGATAACTCAGGGCATCTCGAAGGACCTTGAGACCTTTTAACTTTCTGTTCTTTTATTTCTTTATTTCTTCTGCATATTTGAGCTATAGCAGCACTATAGTTTGTAACCCAAATTCAGTTTTCTTGCTGGTTATTGTTGAAATTGCTGATTCGAGTAATATAGAAGTATTGTTTGAGAAATTATTGCTGTGAGATTGTTTTAATCCTATCAGACCTCCACCACCAAAAGTAGTCCTCACTCCTCACTACACAGCTGGAAATAGCAGAGAACAATTGAGATCTCAGCACAAGTGATGATGAGGACGACGAACAGGAAACCGAATATATAATAAAATTGATGTAACCAGATTGATGTGAGAATGAAGAAAAGCTCAATGAAGACTGCACCAAACGGGAGAATGCCTCCTATTAGAATAGAGCAGACCGGGTTCATGTACCAAGCCTGCTTCAGGATTTGCCTAGCTATCTTGTTTGTCTTTACAGGATCCTCAATTGCTGGCTTTTTAGTGGCACCGTGTGGTAATTCAATTGCTATGAATTATGGTAACTAACCTCAAACTCATCATCACAGGTAAAAATGATTTCATTCTTGTCCTCAATCTCTTGAGGAGATTCAGACTTGGTGACTACCTTTTTTGCATGGGGATCACAGGTAGTTAAGCGGATCTTCTCATTCCATTCACCTTCATTTTAATGCTTTACACTAGGAATATTTCAATGTACAAGTATTATTAACCATGAAATTGAGAGATTAGCACAAAACTATTCTAACAATCAGCTGTAAAAGAATTATAATACAACAACCTGAATGGTTTAACCTCAAATCCTACAATCCTTGACACTTCTGTCACTGGATCTTTATGACACTAAACCACAAATGTTAAGTGGTTGTGGATAAAATACTTTACCTCTTTGTTCTGTCAACAGTTGAGTACAAGAGATGAAAATGAATTCAAACCAATTATTATAAAGTAATGATCAGCACTCAGCAAGCTTGTACTTACTCCTGAATATTGTCCTTTAAGACCAACAAGGAAGCCATGCAGATACAGATTCCTGATCAGGCCTTCTGATAGGAATAACCAATGGAAGATTGTCTAGAATCCTGCAACAATGTAAGGGTAGAATATCCTTTTGTCTCAGAAATAATTGACATAAAGTTGTAAAAGTAAAATTTAAGGGTCATTAGTGCCTCACATGTTCACCTGATACTCATCATCTATCTTTTCCATGAATTCTTTGGCTGTTATTGCATTAAGAGTTACTCCACAAACAACATTACACATCTGTGGTTCTCTCATTTTAAACTGGAAGAATCCAAATTGTTTTTAATATTTCACTAATGAACATAAGATAATATATCAATGTTATGATGATTTATGAAAAGTTATCACCTCTTTCTTAGGTTGATAACCTATGCATTGATTTAATCATGTGAAAAAAGGTGTCAACTGTGTCGGCTTAAGAACTTAGGAAATGCAAAATTTAGTCAGCAAAGGAAAATACAACCTCAATTTCTACAAGAGAATTATGCTAATAACACACTCTTTATTATTGAGTGAATTTCATGCGAGTCACATAAAATTCACCATTAAAGACTATAGCTACACGTAAGAGAGTGTATTACAAGCATTTCTCCTTCCTTCAACTTCCAGCATTGCATGATTTGAATGAAAATTAGCCATGAAGAGGTAATTAGGGTTGGTATTTAAAAAGAAAAAAAGAAAGAGAGAGAGTAGTTGAGACACAAAAATGAGGATTCGCAACACATTTGAGTTATGATTTCAGACACTCGTCATCTAATCCATAATTTTAACGGTGATTTCACACACATTGAAAAAAATCTAAAAAAATATATAAATTAAATTTGAGTGCTCTTTATGGTGTTTCGATTGTAATGCTGTATATAAAGAGATAACTGAACTACCTACCTGATAACAAACCCTCCATCACTAATTAAATGTTTGGTTTTTTGACGAATAGTGTTTGGAACAATTTATACAAGTCAAAATGTGTCTTCATTGAAATTCAGTTGTCCTACTTGAATCAAATTCAAATTTATCACCATAATATCAAGTTATTTGGATCAAATAGCATTTTATTTACTCATTTATTTAATTAGAGTTTAAAAAAATACAAATTTTAAATCATTTATATTAAAATATTTTTAATTAACTATTACTTCTTTTTTTGGTGTGGAATTAACTATTACTTAAAATATATAAATGTTGTATTTTAAATAAACTTTAAATAATAATAAAAAAATTAATTTGACATTTTTGAGCCTGCATTGAGCTGGGTATAAATATTTTTTCACTTTGATCTTTTAGCCCAACCCAGGGTAAATATATCTATTTTCCTGTAAGCAAATAATTTCCCTCAATAAAATTATATGAATGCGTCTACTACAATGCGCAAAAAAGTCGTTTGCATTTAGTCCAATGCAATATTAAGAAAAAGTTGGTCATTAATGGTCCCTATTGAAAGAAAAAGAAAAGAAAGAATTTTGATAGATCTAGATCCAAATCTTGATAACTACTCATTTAAATTTCGCCCAAAAAAAATTGTTTTCGGATAATATGTAATTTTGAATTTATTCTGTTTTATGATTCCTTTTCAAACAATTTATAAACATTATATAGTATTAATATGAACACCTTGCATTTGTTCTTCATAATCTAACGTTATTTAGCAGACTACAAACAAGTCATTACCAAATTGTTATGACATGGATAAAAAGAAAAAACTAGTTATCATCGTGTATTTCTCGAATGTGAAAACATAAGTTAGTAGACAAGACACACACCCTTAAAACTTCGAGGACAAAGAGTGTGTTTGGATTGCATTCTAAAAAAAGTTACTTTTATACCCTACTTATTTTAAAAGTACTTTTTATAAAAGTTAAAACTATTTAAATTTAAAAAAAAAATTATTTTTTTTCAAAAATATTGACTTTTTACTTTTTACTTTTTTTGAAAAGTTAAAAATTTTAGCTTCTGAAAAAAATAAGTTTTTGACTTTTTTATGACTTCTGCTTTTTTTAAAAGCAGCATCCAAATGCGCTTTAAAATAAAAGTGCTTTTTTTTTGGGGGAAAAGTAATTTCTGACTGAAAAAAAAACTCATCCAACGGGTCCAAAGTTTGTATCAATTACTTCAATCGAGAATTCCAAGAGCGGGAAAAACTTAATACATGCAAATTGAAGTCTGTTAAAATATAAATACATGATCCTCAAGTACCTACTCATAATAATGTGTCCACATTTTTCAGAAGCATGTATAAAGCATACTTCAATACCATAGTCCCACAGTATAAATACAAATTCCAATATAAACTACAAAAGGAATTCATGATGGATACAGATACAAAGGAGGGAAGCCAGATATAGCAAGAAATAGAATTTCAGTTATCCTCTTGTACAGGTGATTCTAGCATTCTTACAGTGCGAGGAAGCATAAACTCAGCAAATATAGGAAAATGAGATGATGGATAATACCCATCAATATTATCATTCACCACTTCACATGAAACAGGAATCAATGATCTACCTCTGAAAAGGATCCAATCAATGTGAAGATCCTGTGTTTGCCGATCCCAGCAGAGGCAAAGGGCTCTAAATATTAACTTTAGGTATTCAAGGGTTCCCTGTTTGTCACCTAAAAAGCACCACATAACACTTGAGTAATATTAGTCATATCATGCTCATAAAACAGAAAAAAAATATATGTATAAACATCAAAACAGTACCCTTGAATCCATGATAAGTGCGGATTAGTGAAACATTTTTCCTAACGCGGGCACTTGGCCATGCATCCCTCATATCCCCAACTACACCATGCTCTCTGCACTCAATCACAGTAAACACACAAGTTACAAACTACTACTCTACTGTAGTCTGCATCTCATCGCAGAATCCAACTTAAATGAATAACGAAGATAGGTGCACCGAGCATTATGAGAAATATGAACCTGAGCTCCTGACAGTAACATGATATAAATGTGAAAATTGATAATAATGATTGTAAATGTATGCATATAGTCAGAAACTACCTCGATCTTCCAAGAAGAAAGCGTCCAGTAGTTGATTCCTTTTGCGTATTGAATCCTCCACAGTACATAACTGGCAGGCTAGGGGGTAAGGATGCAATATGCTGCCATGTGAGTAAAGCACTTCTTCTGCGGGCACGAGCACTGAACTCATCCATGTTTGTATTTACTATCTGAAATGAGAATCCTGGTGGCTCGACTCCTTTAAGTTGAAATGTGTGGACATCATGTCAAAGAACCAAATAATTCGAATATTGCGCAACAAAAGTAAAACATAGTTTGAAAACATTTTATTTTATAATTTCTTTTCTAAATCAAAAGGATATAGCCCATGTTGCAATGCAAGGAACTTCAGAACCCCATGACATGCTTCCAGGTACAGAGGGAGATTCAGACAACCAAAAGGTTCCACCTTCCAGAAGCTCTACCTTCATTTAAGAAAAATATAACATAGGTGAACCAATAAGTTCTCTGACCAGTTAAATGAAAAATTATACCAGATAATACTGAAATAATCTCATACCTTTTCCTTATCGTAGAAGATGGTGCAATGCTCATCAGAAGTGTCTTGGGGCCCTTTTCGAGATATGCCAAACTGATCATAACCTGAATGTTTTTATCAAAGTAGAAAAATCCATTTATAAGTAGAGTAATATTAAGCACAAAAAGGATTTGACTGGAATAACTTATATAAAAGACAACATCCTCTTATTTCTAGAAAGAAAAAGAGTAACAAAGTGATGTAAGTGTTCATAACGTCTAACGGGGACTTGAGCCAGTTCTGAACGCAAGTAGAAGAAAATAGCACCCTTTTTAGTAACAGTATTGAAAATGAAGTCAAGACTATCCCTTTTTACTGCCTTGAGCTACAAGTACTACCACTGATATATAAAAAGCCCTTTTCTATGAGTAGTTTGAACCTCTATACAGAAAACCATCTGAGTTGTATTTGATCTTGTAAGCTCACCTCAAGCAAACAAGGTTTTCACAAGTGGTGGAAAGACAAGACCTCAGGTATCATTCTTGTGAAAAGCATTGTGTTAAGAGACACAGCATGTACCTCTCCTTCCCCTCTAACTGAATTCCTTCAACTAAAATATTCCCTGCCACCTCAGCTGACCCCCCTTGGGCTGATCCTCTGTGACGTCTTCTAATATACACCCTTAGAGGTGTCTTATCACATTGTTTTTTCCATATTACAGCTAGTTTCCAGTTATCATCAGGTTTCACTATGAGTTGATAAGTACAATTAATATCTGAAATCTAATACATAATTTTATGATAATGGTATTCTGAATTCTTTCCTTGGAATCCAAGCATCATTATCTTTTCTTGCAGAATAATCGTTTATTTAAGTAGTTTGCAAGCCATCCTTGAACATTAATTCATGTTCATTAGCAAAGGCTAGTCAATTTGAGCTAAAAATTTCCAACATGAGCATAAAACCAAGGCAAATTAAAGGGACAAAATAATGAAAGAAGAAAGACAGGTCACTCGAGATAGATGAAAATATTTCCTGAAACAACTAGTACATAGTCATGCTTACTCATATCACTCCGCAAGATTATTAGCTGAACAAACAGGCATTTTAGGTATTTTAATCATTCCGACATTTTATATCAAGCAAAATCCTGAAAAGCCTACAACACTCCTCTCCCACTTCCTCCTGATATATAAATTTGAAAGCTTCCAGAGCATCTGCCTATTTGCATGAATAATTTCTCATTCCAGTTAGAATCTTCATTTATCTAACCTTTTGACATTTTTGAATGAACTACACACCCATTTTAACATAACCAAATCATCTATTGTGCAGGCATCACATAAGAAAATCTGCATAACGAGCATTAGTTTACTTTAAGCAACATGATAGATAACAGCACCTTATTGAGATATTGCTCTTCATAACCAGTGCCATAAGATATAAAAACATGATTGTGACAAAACCATGCATGTAATAAATTTGAAAACTATAAATTAATCCTTTCAGAAGCTGAAGAACAAGTTATTCAAAAAGTAGTTACCTGGCAAACCCTGCTGGAGAAAATCCAATTGAGTTTTCACTCCTGAATCAAGATACAAATTTAATATAAAAAAAGAGCACCCAGATCAAACAATCTGAGGAGAGAGCACTAGAGAAGGGGGTTGGGGACAAGTAAGGGAAGAGCACAATTGTACACAAGCAAAGCAAAAATCTTCAAATCAAAGCATCAAGATAAACGCATTTCAATGGCCAAGGAATTGAATATTGGAAGCCAGTTTCATCCAGAAGGATCTAGAACAATCCACCAAACTTTTAGATCACAGAAAGAAACAGCAAAGCAACCATTTTTAGCAAACCCAGATGAAAAATAAGATCCACATAGGAACACAAACATTAGAGGAGCATGTAGAGAGACATGATATACCAAGAAGTATGAACACTAAGAAAAAGAAGAAAAAGAACCTTGTTGGGTACAGAGGATGATGGGTGAGTAACTGGTAACAACGCTTATACACAAGTCCCTTCTCTTCTCCCACGAATTAGGACTGTCTTGTGGCTGATCATCATGGAGATTGAAGGTCATCACAGTCAAAGATACACTCATTTTCTTCAAAAAGAAACAATCTTTCTCTCTCTAACTCCTTGCCCTTCTCTCTACTTCATGATTAATCGATTTAAATGAATAGGGAATGCTTCAAAAAAGAACAAAACATGAACAGGTTGTCATGCTATTATATTTTACTCTCTGTCATGAGCAAAATGCAAGACAGCCAAAAAAGGGAGTTTTTCTTTTCTTTTCTTTCTTTTAATTCTTTTTTGGGTTATGAGCCTTTTCTTCTGTGTGTTTTGGAGTGAAAGAAGAAAAGGTTTTGAGGTTGTTTCTGAAGTCTGAACTGAAGAAGTAAGGAATGTCCAAAGTCCAAGGTCCAAGGATGCCCTTTTTCTTGCCATAGATTCATTTTCTTACACTCCCAACCCTCTTTATTTGCTGTGTCAGTGACTAAGTGCACCAGCGAAATGGTGATAATCAAAAGGGTAAAGTCTTTATCTAAAAATTTACCATCTTACATGACACAAGTTATATTCTTTTGTAAAGAAATAAAATTTTTATTTTTATTTTTTTTGTTAACTCTCTTTTCTTCTTTATCTATCTCTTTCTCTCTCTTAAAATGACACAATTTTACATTCATTAAATCCATTAAAATAACACACACTTTCCCTTGATCAAAATTACCTAATCCTTATTAAACCATTTCATTTTGTTTTGATATCTTATAGGAGAATCAGCCTGTATTTGTTTTAGCTCCTTTTTTTAAGAAAAGAAAATTTGATTTTGACAAAAAAAATTGGAAAAAATATTTATCCTTTTAAAGGATATAATCATATGTCATTTTATATCTTAATTATTAATTTTCGTCAATCAACGGTTATAATTTATTGGATTAAAATTATTAATTAATTAATAATAAGTTTGACCCGTTAAATTTGACCCAATAAATTATAATCGTTGATAAACAGAAATTAACGATTAGAATCTAAAATGACATACGGTTATATCTTTTGAGGGAAAAATGTTTCTGCAGTTAATGTAGATAAGTTATTTGCATTTTGTTCCCAAAACGACGTCATTTTAGTATTGAAATCTTAAAAAATTATAAATATAAAGACTATTATAACCCTGAAATAAATTAAAATTACAAAAATACTATAATTTTCGCCCAAAACGACGTCGTATTGAACTTACTGCAGATAACTTATATGCAGTAACTACAGAAAAAGCGAACTCATCTTTTAAATAGATAAATACTATTCCCATAAATGTGCTTACGTGCCTTTAATAGTGATTTTTACTAGAATGGTTATCAGTTCTTTATCTTTTATTTTGTATTGTTAATTATTTTTTTAATTAATTCTTCCTAAGGTGTTTTGCATTGTCATTTAATTATTACGATCAATCTCTTATTTTTTTGTAAACATTACGATCAATCTCTTTTAATGAATTAGGATGACTAGATAATGTTGTAAATTACACAGTGATTTTGTGTAAAGAGTGGTAATTAAGTAATTTCGAAATTTGTATAGTTATTGTTGGGTATCCAAAGTGGAAAAAGGCATCCTAAGTAGCCCCAATAAAAATTAGTTTGACATTCAACATATAAAGCCACGAAGGATGTAAGCAAACGAAACATACAGAACTTTACCTGTTTACTTTTTGAATATGGTTAGAAAACATAATTGGATGAATTCGTCGTTTTATAAGTAATTCAAACTTAAAATTCATTTAGCTAAGCTGTCTGTGATTCACTTTGAAGATCTTCTCATTATAGTCAATTTAGATTTCAGGACATCCTTCTCAACTATCTCTTTCTGTATATTTTGTCTATTCTTTTGTTTTTTTACCAAGATTGTTTTGCGTGAAAAAGTATCATTCTTTACTGGCAGCAGAACCACAAAGTATATATATTAGTTTACTTTTTCTACGGTCAATCTAGATAACTAATAATCTACATTGAGCTCAAAATGACGTCGTTTTGAGGTAGAAATTAAAATATTTTTGTAATTATAATTTATTTCAGATTTATAATAGTCTTTTTCATTATAATTTTTTAATTTTTCAACTGAAAATGACATCAGAAGAAATGCATGATACAAAAAAAATAAAGGAGCATATTTTCACAACTTTTGTAATAGGTATTTCTTTATTAAAAATAGAAAATAAATAAATAATGAGATTCATATAATATTAACCATAAAAGGGTAGGTAATATTTCAAGATGAACTGAATCTCCTCTAGACATCAAGAGATCAACCAAAATTTAATATTTTTTGGAAAAAGATAATAAAACAAAAAACAAAACTTAATAAAGTGGAAAATAAATTAACTTAAAATTTGTCTTGCAACATTGCAGATGAAAACTACTAATATTGTATTACAAAAAAAAAAAAAAAAAAAAACTACTAACATTGGGGAGAGATAGATCCGTTTTATGTTCTAAAAGATATCTTTCAGTGTTTTTTTTCTCTGTATTTGTTTGTTTATTCTGTTTTATTTATCTATTTTTTCTCAATCTTTTCTTGATTTGGATGCATCAATCATGGGCCTCAATTAGTAAAAGATAAAAATAATGTTCATGTTCATGTTGAATACAGTAAAAATTCAAGTTAGGAGAAGCTTATCAAAACTTGAAAAACCAAAAGTTTTTTTTCTTTGTATTAAAAGATAAAAACAAAAGGTTCGAATACAGTAAAAAATGATCAGCTCCTTTTGCATCCCTTTGAATAACTTATTCATATAACCAACCCCATCGAATAATTTAACTCATCCTGTGCTTCACTCAAGATTTGAAGATTTCAGTTGGCATTTTTCAAAACCCATTCTACTAAAGTAGCAATGCCAAATCCTGTTGCTGAACGCTTCTTTTCATTCCACACTGGACCAGCCATGTCAATATGCATCCATTGAACCTTTTCATCAACAAACTGCAAAAGCAAATTGGTTTCAGAAACCCCTAACATACACACAAAATAAGCCAGCCAACTAGGAATTCAGTCCATATATACTTACTAAGCAGCTATTTTTTATTCCAACAAGTCTCCTTTAATAAATGGTTTGCATATGAACTTTTTAATGCAAATTTGGAAACTTTATGTTGAACACTTCTTGTTAGAGGCACACAATCATGGGGTGAGAAAATGGGGGTGTAAGGAGAAAAATTAAAATACATACCTGTTTTAAGAAAAGAGCAGCAGTAATAGCACCACCTTGTCGACTACCAGTGTTCAGCATATCAGCCGCTCCTGATTTCATTGATTCCCAGTAACTTTCTTCTAAGGGCATCCTCCATAATTTCTCCCCACTCGCTTCAGAAGCTTCAAAAACTTCTTTTGCCAGGTCATCACTGGGAGTAAATGCACCTTCAAAAACAATTGTTTGCAATAGTAATCAGATGAACTTTTTCAGATATATCTTTTAGGTCCGGCCTCTCCAAGACCTTAGCTTTTCTCTTTCTCCAAAATAATACAAATTTTAAGTGCTCGGAGCCAACTAAATTTTGGAACTTTTTCACATTCTCACAAGCAAATATTAGTATATGGTCATAAAAAAAAAGCTCAAATCCACACATAATATAATAGTATTTAGCTTATAATTACCTGCAATAGATGGACCAAGAGCAACTCTGCAGGCCCCAGTTAAGGTTGCCAAGTCAACAATCTGAAGAACAGTTGATCAACCAGTTAGCACAATTCTAAACCAAACCATATACCTAATTAAACAAGTCTTAATCTTGTCTAAATTGATACCAAAAATCAAAATAAGATGACAACTGAGAAATTTGTACATAGAAAAGCACAAAGTCAGCACTTGCCCACAGATTTTAAACAATGACAATGGTATCTATTCATCAAAAAATTGAATTTTTAGTTCAGCCAGACAAATTAGAATGGTTCTAACATTTTGTCCAACTCTTGTTAGAAAAATAATTAATCACCAAATCTAGTATTAAAATGTTAAGCAAATCTTTTGGGAGGGGACCTAGATTGGATATGATTTATGGGGATACTACAGGGATGGAAAGACGCAAATGCATTAGCTCTATACCTTTTCTACACCTTGGTTACAAGCATATACCAGAGCATCTGCCAGGGTAAGTCTACCCTCAGCATCAGTGTTGTTAACCTACACAAAAGGTAAAGCCAATGACAAATCAGGAGTAAATTATATCAAATGCTAGTAACAAAGACAAGTTCAACTACTACACATGTCCCATTATATAGAATCATAGATAGATCATAGAGGCCAAAAATTCAATTCATTGACATTCAGTAGCATTGTATACATACATTTATTAGTACCTGATATAGCTATAATAGACTTGCAGTACTGAGACAATGATAATGATACTCAGTTTTGATCCCAAAACATCATAAATGATTACATTGAAACTTTCCTCAAATGGAAATAACTGATACATTTCATTCAATATTCAAATAAAACATTCCAAGAAGCTCCAATTAAATTTTCATTATATAAGAATAACACTGGACCTTACGATATGTTTTCTTGCAAAATGGAAAGATTGCAAAGTAATGGTTGAAACAGAATCAAAATCCATCAAATAATGTGTCAATACATGTTATATTTAATGTACAATTTAAAAATAAAAAACCTAATAAATCCTCACCTCTATAGTTTTTCCATTTGAAGCAGTGACAATGTCTCCAGGCCTCATACCTGCTCCACTTATCATATTCTCACAAGCTGCAACTATGAAATGAACCTGCATATGCAGGACTTCTTAAACTGGGCATAGCATGCATTATTATTATTACACCACAAAACACACTACACAATATTCACCAAAAGATCCAAACAAATTCCAAAGGAAACTAGCCACCAGAAAAGTAAATCGAAAAATCACATTCAATAGGCCTATTGTGAAAATATTAAATGAGATAGCAAATATAACGCAGTTATATATATCTGAACCCATTAATTTCCGCATCCCATGTTGAGATATATAGTCCCACATTGGTTGTATGAGCAACTAATGTGGAGTTTATAAGGCCTTGGGCACTCCCACCTTTAGAGCTAGCTTTTGGGGTGGTGTATCCCAAGATTCTTTACATGGTATCAGAGCTTGAGTTCGATCCTCACGGCCCCCCACTTTCAAGTGGAATTAAAATAAAAAAACACAAAAAGGTAAACCAAAAATTGGGTCTGTGCAATTCCACACTTCTAGCCCAAAGGGCTCTTGCGTGAGGGGGCGTGTTGAGATATATAGTCTCACATTGGTTGTATAAGCAACTAATGTGGAGTTTATAAGGCCTTGGGCACTCCCACCCTTAGAGCTAGCTTTTGGGGTGGTGTATCCCAAGGTTCTTTACATCCCACCCACCGCCAAATACCCCGTAAGCAAAGTCTTAACATAACATTGAAAGATAGAATGACAAAAAAAAAAAAAGCACTATGTATAAAATATAAATCAATCAACTCAAATGTTATTCTTTGAAAAGGATAAAAGCATGAACAACGAAATAGAAATGACTGACCTCCACCCCAAGAGGTTTGATTTGACCAAGAGCTTTTGCTGCACCTAAAACTGCAGCCGAACCACCCATATCAAATTTCATGAGTTCAATCGAACAACCAGGTCCAGTCTTGATGTTGTAGCCACCACTAATAATATGCAGATAACATAATAAAAAATGTAAGAAGAAAAAAACTATATTTTACAAAATAGTAAAAACAAAATATAAATTTACCCATATATAATCTGTATGCCATGATGACAATTTGGCAATGCATGAAGAAATAAGACAATGAAGCAATCTACTTAGTACCTCATATAAAAGATTTATCTACCAGCAAAGACATCAGGATTAACTTCTTAACCAATTAAAGTTATAGTACAGGAATCAAAACCATGGATAATACACTAGGAAAAATCTCATTTCAGATTGATCACTCTCTTATTGAGTTGTAGATAAAATAAAAAAGACTTCGTTTAATTAATACCTGTCAAAGGTCAAACCTTTTCCCACTAAAGCCAACTTGGCATTGACAGGTCCACTTGGTGGTTTATAACATAGATGGATAAAATGAGGAGGATTTGCTGAGGCTGCAGCAACACCTAGATAGGACCCCATTTTCAAATCCTTACATTGCTCAGCATTTAATATTGTAGCAGTGAAAACATCACTATAGGTGGAAACAATGTTAGATGCCTGTTCTGCCAAAGCCCCTGAGATAAACAAATTACCAGTACAGATCAATTCTTAGTGAAGTGTAAGTCCCTCAAATATATATTAAGGCACAATGAAATTGGCCGACTGCCTGCCAAACAACTGCATGGATTAGGAAAAACATATCATATACAAATACAATTCAAAGTGTCATATGAACCTGGTGTGAGCACATTAGCAGGAGAATTTACTAGCTGCCTTCCAAAAATTATTCCAGAAGAAACATCTCTTGCGTACTTAAATTTCTTCTCGAATTCAGGTCCCGTTCCAAGACCAATAATGTCAACCATTCTAAGAGCTGGTTTCTTTGATTCTGACCTATACCTATAATCTTCAAATAATCCCAACATAACCCCTAGCACAGTTCAAGCCCACGCGTCAAGTGCAACCATAAAAATCACAAGCTTACACACACACACACACACACACATATAGATAATTGGACAACTATAAATCATAAAATCAATACCAGTCGCAATTGCATAAGCAGTGCTAGGCTTTGATTGTACAGAAAGTCCTTCAGGAGAGGCAAGAACAATGGCAGCATCGCTTGCATGACCAGACCTTGCAGCCGCCACAACAGCCTCACCAAAAGCCTTAAAAGTTGCTATAGAGGAAGCTGACTGTCCAAGTCCAATCAAGCCAACCCTCTTTGATTCAAGTCCTCTTATTCTAAGAACCGTTGATTGGCCAACTTTGCCAGAGAAATCCTCTTCAGCAGAAGCTTCAGCTAATATACCTCCCAAATTTGAGTCAATTTTGTTCAAAATCAAATTCTGAAACCTCGAGTGTGCATCTCTCGCCAGGTCTTTCTCAGTAACCGAGTTGCATAAGAGAAAGCATAAAATAAAATAAAGTAAATTAAAAACATAAAGTAACCGAGTCACCTTTAACTCAAAAGTCAAACATGAGAGAGAGCGTAAAATAAAATAAAAATATAACGTAACTACATCATTTTAACTCAAAAGTGAAAACATAGGAGAAATTCCACCACAAAAAAAAAATGGGAGAAAACATAAGATAAAATAAAAATATAACATATTTGCATCACCTTTAACCCAAAAGTCAAAACATAGAAAAGAGCTTAAAATAAAATAAAAATGTAATGCATCCGCATCACCTTCAACCCAAAAGTTAAAACATAAGAGACAACACAAAATAAAATAAAAATATAACATAATCATGTCAGCTTTAGCTTAAAAGTCAAGCACTGAAGCATTGAAGATGACATAAAATAAAATAAAAATATCACATTTAACTCAAAAGTAAAAATATATAATAAAACAACATAAAATAAAATAAAAATATAACGTATTTGCATCACCTTCAACCCAAAAGTCAAAACAGAAAAAAGCACAAAAATAGAATAAAAATATAACGTAATGATGTCACCTTTAACTCAAAAGTCAAACATAGAAAATGGCATAAAATAAAATAAAAATATCACCTTTAACTCAAAAGTAAAATCATAGGAGATTGTTATCAAAAAAAAAAAAAAAATCATAGGAGAAAACAACATTTTATAAAATAAAAATATAACATATTTGCATTTCCTTCAACTCAAAAGTCAAAGCATAGAAAAAAACACAAAATATAAAAATATAAAGTATTTTTATTACTCTCATCCCAAAAGTCAAAACATACGTGAGAATATAAAATAAAATAAAAACATAACGTAATTAAAAGTTGAAATATATGAGATAGCATAAAATGAAAAGCATAAACGACCAAACCCATATCTAATTTAATAAATGTTGAAGTCAATGATTCTCTCACACAAATCACTTCTTATTTATCCATTAGTTATTTTATTCCATTTTAAATTTGTAGATAAAGAATGACAAAATAATGTGTGGCTCCACAATTCACTAATACACCTCTATCATATTCTACATAATCTTTCTCATTTATAATGACTCATTCTTTCGCTTCCAAAAATGAAAACCACTCGCATTGGATCTTTTATCTAGAGAAGACCCAAAAGGGGAAAGGAAAGGGAAATAGTGAAACGTGCGGATATAACTTCAATATCTTACACCAATAAAAAATACAATATCATTACATATAAGGTCCCCCTGATACGGCCTTTTAACCATATGACTTCAAAATATAAAAAGTTTGACGAATTAAGCTCCTGGTCAAACTTATTACCATACTAATACAAAATAACGCATTTTATTTATAATCGCATTAAGACATGGCTATACTACCGTTATTAGACGCGGTATACCCAGACTTGCATTTGACTTGCATAAACGCGGCATCTTTGCTATCGTCTTTAAGGTGTCAGATGACAAGGAAAATGGTTCTGTCCATACCGCATTTAGACACACAATTTCATGCATCATTTTGTGTGTAAGACAAACCAACACACGGAACACTGAACACGGGTTCTGTTCTACCACGTCTAATCACGCACTGACATGCACCAATTTGCGTGAAAGACAAATCAATTTACGAAACACTTAACTTGGGTTTTGTCATACCGCGTTTAAACACGCATTGACATACACCAAATTGTGTGCAAGACAAACCAATTTAAGGAACATTGAACTCGGGTTCTGGGATAGCACGTCTAAAATTGGTACTGCACAAGACGTGTTCAGTGTTAGCGCAAAAGTTGTGTTTTGTGCGTCTATTTATATATCATTGCCTTTATTCAGTATTGATATATTGGTGCCTTCATTTAGTTCAATTGTGGCTCTCTTCTTACGGTATAACTTTGGAATTCTCTCTTTTTTCGGCGTGTAATTTCGATCTTCAAAATTTGCTATAAGTTCAACTCTTTTCTTCTTTCAATTCCCACACTATTTTGTTTCCATATTCTCTTGTATTTTTGTATTTCACCTTCTTCCACATATCCTTTTGTTTACCAATTGGCAAAAACAAAACAAAAAACAATTCGTGCACTTGTATACTATAATGGTAGAAATGTTATAGGTCATCATGGTGTAACATTTGAAGGTGAAAAAAGAACAATATGAATTACACATGGTACTAGTTTTAGGGAGTTGAAGGCAAAAATTCATCAGAAAATGGAGTTACAAGGGAATCAATATATTTTTGAAGTGACTATGAGAGCTCTTGCTGGCAATACTGAATACACAACAATATCAATTACATATGATGATGTCGTTGATATTATATTAGATATATTTGTGGAATAATCTGAAATAAGTCCTGATTAAAGTAGTGCAAGAAAGTTTGTTGAGCTATACGTATATGTTGAAAATGCTGAGGATTTGTCAATATTGATTCTGTCACTTGATATAAATATAACACCAGACACTGAAAATTTATACAGGTATGTGTCATCATTTGTACCTCCGCCAGCATGCAACAATGTTACATTTGAGGATGAAGACATTCCAACATAGGACCATAATGATGATGACGAAGAAGAAGAAGAAGATGGTGATGATTGTCTGGAATTGAGCATAATGACAATGAGTCAAATAACGAAGATGACGATGATCGTAATCCATCTGCAGTGCCAACAGAAGTTCGAAACACCTTAAGAATTGTCATCAACGGGTTTCGGGATCAAAACATGGTAGAAGGTTAATGAACAAGTGCTTTATTGATTTTTTTTTTTAAGGTTTATCTTGTACATTTATCTATTGATTTTGATGTATGTTATGTAGGCGATAGTGTAACTCTATTTTGGAATGACATTTCACATTACTCATACATTAATTATGAGTATCCAAATGAGGTTCAAGAATATAATGAGAGGGAGTATCATGGTACATGGACCATTAGGGATGAGTTGTTTGTTAAACAATAATTTGAATCCAAGGAAGCAGTGCAAATGGCAGTCAAGTCTTATTGCATGAAAAGTAATAAGGAGGTTGTTGTTGTTGAGCGTACGACTCTGAAGTTAGTCATGAGGTGCAGGAACTATAACTCGGGTTGTTCGTGGCAAATGAGGGCAATGAAACTGAAAAATGGATTAGTGTGGGTGGTGAGCAGATGGGTGGCACCTCACAATTGTGTCAGCAGTAATCTGTCCTAAGATCACAGACAACTTGATTCCACGTTTATTACTTCAACTATATTAGGTGACTGATATTTTTTTTTAATTAAAGTTGTATTGTTTTAGATGTTATGTCCCTTGATTCTTACTTAAAGTTATATGTGTAATGTTTTGACAGATATGGTCATGGAAGAACCACATGTATCAGTTGGGTTGATACAAGAAAGAATATGAAATAATTTTGAATTCACTATTTCATTCCGGAAGACACTGAAGGCTAAACAAAAAGCCATGGCAAAGATTTTACGGCGACTGAGACCAATCTTATGGTTATTTTCCTTGATGGTTTGATTACCTGCTACATTTTTCTGAGGGTTCTATTTATCACATTCAAACAAATGAATATATGGAAAATCATTGGGTTGTTAATGGTTATTGGGTTTTCGATAGGGTTTTCTGGACTTTCAGGCAATGTCATGACGCGCTCAACTTTTGCAAACTTATTATACAAGTTGTGTGGAACCAATGCACTCTATGAAAAGAATATAAAGGTTCAACGATTTCGATGATAACAAACAAGTATGGAAAGAAAGCTTCAAGGTGAAACCATCAAAAAGAAGTCTAAACAAGATCAAGACTCAAGCTTCAAGAGAAGTCTCTAAGTCCAAACTCAGAGTAATATACTGTAGGACTTAGGAGTATTTGTAAATTGATTCTTTACAAGAACGAAGCTCAAAGAATTTTTTTTAAAAAAATACATGGATTAAATCATCGTTTGACATTCAAATAAATTCTTAACATGAAAACATATTTTTCAATGTTCATAAAATGTTTAAACAATATTTGAAAATGATGTGAATCAAGAGAAAACTATTTTAGGGTGAAACCAACCTTTCAACAGGTTGGTAATCGATTACCAAACAATGGTAATCGATTACCCACTCAATGGTAATCGATTACCTACTGTACAGAGACAAAAATAACGGCTATAAAATGGCTAGTTTGCGAAAATAAGTAGGAAAAAGGCCATGGGGCCCCTCTATAAATAGAGATTACTGTTCCCATTGATGGGACACACTTCTTGATCATTATTACTCATTAATTCTCATTCTATTTGCATTATTCTTGTCTTCTTAATCATAAATTCCTTTCGAGCTTTATTCTTGTAAAAATGTCATATACCCTTGTTCTTCAACTTGTGTTATTTGTACTTTGAGAGTACTTAGTCATTATTAAACACCTTCCTTGATTACTTGAGTAGCTAGGGGAGTGAAGCCTACACACTTGAAAGGTCACCAAATTCCTAAGAAAATTTGGAGTGAAAAAGTGTAAGGCATCAAGAGCCCGAAGTCTTGAAAAGTTGTAGTGGTTTGTCAAGCACCCTGAAGCTTGATAGTTAGTGAAAAGAATTGATCGAGCGGCTTCAGTCTGGACGTAGGTCACGGTGGTGGTGACCGAACCAGGATACATCTAGTTTGCAATTTCTCTAACCTTAATCCTTTTTTTAAGTATTAAAATTGCATCTTAGATTGTCTTTATATATTCACTTGCTTACTTTGTTGATCACTACA